CGTCGCTCAACTTTCAGGAACTTTACTTAAAGGAAAGCGCTATACCTCTCTTTCTCCTTGTCTTCTGGCTAGCATGCTGGGAAATGGAACGGCGGCCCTGGACCATGAGGGGTGAGGACAGAGCCGGAACCTACAGCTGGTGGAGAGGGGCCTGGCAGGGCCTGGGTCCGACAGCTCGGTGAAAGTGCCATTTCAGCCCTGCCATGCCCACTACGGTCTTACGTCAGAAGAGAGAATCTTGGAGCTGTAAGGCCGTGGCCACGAGAGATTTTGTGGTCACCTTACCCCAGGAACAATGTCCTCCCTGCATCTCTGGCGCTTCTTGGCTCTGTGTAACTGGAAGAGACCACTCCACTCCTCTCGGAATGGAGCACTTGAGCACTCGCCAAGAACGAAGCCTGCTTCAAGATGACTTGATTTCTTTACCATCAGATATTGGCAATACCTTCAGAAGGAATGAAATTAGAAAGGCACAACAGAACATAGAGTGAACACCTCTGTCCTTCAGTCATGTTTCTATTGCCAGAGGCAACCATTATTACCAGTGTGTGGAAGACTTTTAAATAGTAACCTCTCTTTTAAAGAGAAAAATGTCCCAGCTCCTGGGATATCCTGTTATACAATAAATCTATATAAATAAATACATCCATATCCACCTCTACAAAAACTCTGAGCTACTGCCCACAACTCTTACAATGAAGTCACATTTACTTTAGAGCCCAAATTAAAATGTTCAAGCCCTCAGCCACGTGACTGCCAAATGTCAGTCCCCTTCCCTAGCTTTTTCTCCCCGGTACGAAATACTTCCCGGATCCAATGATCAAACAGACTGTGGGGCAGAAGCTGTGACTTGAGAGGCTAGATCCCCAAGGCCACAAAGGACAGCTCCATCTGGGTGACTTAAAAGGGTCAGAGTTATGGGCGCTTGAGTGGCTCAGTCAGTTAAGTGGCCGACTCTTGATTTCGGCTTAGGTCATGATCTCAGGGTTGTGAGATCGAGCCCTGGTCCATGCTGGGTGTGGAGCCTGCCTAAGATTCTCTCTCCCTCTGCCCCTCCCCCCACTATGAACAGGCTTGCAGGTGCTCTTAAAAAAAAGGGTCCGGAGTTTGGGTTTTTTTTTTTTAAAGATTTTATTTATTTGACAGAGAGAGAGACAGTGAAAGAGGGAACACAAGAAGGGGGAGTGGGAGAGGGAGAAGCAGGCCTCCTGCGGAGCAGGGAGCCCGATGTGGGGCTCGATCCAAGGACTCTGGGATCATGACCTGAACCAAAGGCAGACGCCTAACAACTGAGCCACCCAGGTGCCCTGAGTTTGGGTTTTGGTACTGAATTCTCAGACCATGTTTTCTAGTAAAAGTACTGATGGTCACCATAACTGCAAACACACTTAATGAGTGTGTCCTTTGTGCCAGACACCGTACTTGGATCTTATATGCAAAATCACACTGAAACTTCACAATGACCCTAGGAGTCAGGTACCACTAAATAGCATTCCTATCTTATGAGGAAGAGAGGTTAAATCATTAGTTTAAGGTCACCAGACAGAAAGGGGAAATTGGGATTTGCATTCTGACAGTCTGTTCATAGAAACCAGGCTCTTAACCACAAGCTGACCCTGACCAGATGGTAAGCCCCATGCACGCAGGGATTTTCTCTGAGGCCCGCACACCACCTGGCACAGAGCAGAAGCTTAGCAAACCTTCATGGGCTTAAATGTCTGCTTATGAACACTGTACATGGAACGTGGGGTAAGTATGGGAGCCTCCATTCCCAGTGACTGCAGCCTTATGTCCTCTGCTCAGGGCCCACCCTCTAGAACCCCATCCTCCAAAGGATGGAGGCCAATCAGCAGTGTGAAGGGCACTGCAGAGGGGCTGGAACCAGGGGCTGTGCTGGCCGAGAGACCGTTCTCTTTGTTCCAGTGAGCTGGAGGTGCCAGACCCCCCAAGACCCTCAGTTCTGCAGCTGGGACCCTACAGTGCTGGACACATATTTGCAGGCTTGATCTACCACCTCTTGGCACTGCCCCTTCTGCTGAAGACTTGTTTTTAGATGCACTGGTATCTGACTTACCGGTTTTATTTACTGCTGCTCTCTTAGTACCTAGAACATATGAGGCCTTTATTCGCTGAACGAACTTCTGAACAGTTAGGCGAGGCACTTGATCCCAGCTAGGTGGTACTTCCAGGAGATACTGCATTGTGTCCCACTGGGTTTGAATTAGCTACACGCCGGGGGCGGGGAGGGGTGCAGAGCTCACTGCTGACCTCCAGCACCTGAGGGGTGGGCTTGCGGCAGGGGACGTTAATTACTGTAGGAGTTGGAGCCCATTCGCATCCCAGTCACCATTTTTCACAACCCACAGGGATGAACTGCTACTGCTATATGTAGAGTAAGTTTTCCTTATTTCAGTTTTCCTAAAAAAGAAGAATTCTGTCTAGAGGCAGCCAAAATTCAAGAAAAATCATCATCCTATGGTGTCAGTCAGACATGAATCAATGTGAAAACACATGGATAAACCCTGAAACAGAGACAGAGCACCATGATTTGACTCTGACACAGACACTGGGAGACTCCAGAATGTCTCTCCCACCCCCAAAGCGCTGAACAAGCAGGGGGCTGTCACTGAGTCAATCGCTATTTTAATCCCCTTGTACAAAAGACGTAAAAAGGGCAAAGGACTGGACAGATGACTAGTCAGAATGAATATGAATTTGCTAACAGATGAGACCGTTAAAATGTATTTCTTCCCCAACAGGGCCAGAGTAAAATCCCAACCTTCTATGGCGCTTACTCTTGAGAAGACATTGCTCTCTGGATCTGGTGTCTGAGTTCTGTGCTTGCATAAAGCCCAACACCAGGGCAGCAGATCATCCCATCCCATTTGCACACCCAGCTATGGCACACACACGGCAGGGAGCACAGAGCAGGGCTCACCAGGCAATGCTGTCTATGCCAGGGGTCCCGGCAGGGCTACAAGGACACATGGTCTCGGCCTGGGGGGGTGCGCTGCTTCACGTAACCCTTCTGTCCCCGCAATGCCACATGCTGATTGACCCCCACCCCCTGCCTGCGCGCAGCACAATCACACACCTCTCACCCAGGCTCGTCGGCACCCAGGGGCCTCGCTCAGGCAGGATGAGGCTCCTGGCGGGGCCGTCTTTATTACTCACAGTGGCACACACCGGTTCCCCTCCCCAGTCCAGGTACGCGGCACACAGAGGAAGGCGGGCGCGGGTGCTCCCTCTCATTCTGGGAGTCCTCCCTCCCATGGCCCTTGTGTGCCTTCTCGTAGTTCTGGATCCGAGCAGGCCCAAGGCTTATTCCCCAGGCAGGTTTTCAGGAAGGCAGCTGTAGTACTGTGGCTCTTTGCAGGTTGTACGAGGGAAGAGAGGCCTGCGGTGAGGTTCCAGGTGGCACCCCTGTAACAAACTTAATCTGTGTTGCGAACCAGGCTAGCTCAGTTCAGAGATATAGGGGGTGGGTGGAACATGAAAAATGATACTTTTTCACCTTAAGAGAACTTCCTAAAACAACCTCATGGGTGCAGGGAAACCCCAGGGCCAGACTAATTTTAACAGAATTTTAAACCAGAGAATGGCCAAAGGTTCAGGTCAAGAATTCTGAGTTCAGGAATCCCATCAGGATGGGAGAGAAAGCCTTCATTGTAACACAGACCCCACAGCCGATGGTTACACAAAGTACCTTAGCAGCATTAACTCAGAACTTTGGAAATCAGCTAGAGAATGTCCCAAGAAGCAAAGTGTGATTCTTTGCACTACAACTTGAATTCTGTAAGTGCCCGCCCTACCTCTTTTTTTTTCCCCCTCCACACCCACCTCTTTTATCAGCCAAACCCTCTTCTCCCTCAACAACAAACTCACATCTCTTCAGTTTGGGCGGCTGTTTTCTTCCAGGGGCTGGATATGAGAGAAATTAGCAATGTCGCTTCAGAAGTAGAGCTTCCCAGATGCATGGAGCCAGAAGGTAGGGTCGAAGCCCCACTTTCATGATCATCTCATTCCCAACTAAGCAGCCTTGGTTTTCCAAGGCCCCCTGGCGAGGAAGGAAGAGCCAGAGCAGTGGGACTTGGCTCCAGATAGGGAAGGGCAGGGCAGGCTTCACGGAATATTCTCCAGACGGAGTAGAGAGTGGCAACCATACCATTTCTTATCTGTGACCCTGGCCCAACCTTACAGAGCAAATTCAGTACAAAGAATCACGGTCTCTGGCAGTGAAACCCTTCTGCTAAGATAAGCTGTGTACATTTCTTTCCTCTGTTGCACAAACCCCCATCACAAGCCATGTGGGGTCTTCCTGGGACACCCTGCTGGTCTCCTGCCGGCCTGACAGGTGCTCTCGATCATTACAGATTTACTCTTCCAGTAGCCTGCTACTGCCCAATGGGCACGCTGCCAGCTCTGTTCCCTCTCCACCCCCACGTGGGCCTCCTCCCTTCCTGTCTGGGTAGCCCTTTCACCCCTGCCTCTACCCAGAAGGGCCCTACCCCACCTGTGCCCCCAGGGCACTTTTTAGGCCATAGCTCTGCACCTGCCCTGCTTGCTCTGCGGATGTGGGGGGCAGGGTAGCTGCACGGATACCTTGGGGGGTGTGGTCACCACCCAGGCAGTGTAGGGGCCTGGACCAGCCTCACCCATCACCTCCACACACACTGACTGTCCCCACCGCAGTGGGCTCCGAACTCCCGCAAGGCTTCTATCGGCTGTGAACAATGGGTCCTGCTCTTGTCACAAGGCAGGCTCCCCCCCATGGAGGTCAGAGGTAGACAAGAACAATGGGGTGGTCAGAGGTGTCTGTAAAAGATGTTTCAGAGCAGCTTGTGCCTCATGACGGTTTTAGCTTAGTTACAAATCCCAGGCAGTTCCATCTGCTTAACCAGTTTTTCCGGTGACACTTCAATGCTGGTTTTCTTGGTTTCTATAGCCTCTTGCTTTCAAATTTTAAAAGTAAAGCCAAAATAATAACAACTCCAAATTCTTCAAACTGAACAAATAAATAACGGTGATAATATTTATATGCGTAGGCCACGTGAGGAGATTCGAGCATGACTGAGGAATAGAAAAATCAGGAACAGGCCTTGGTCTTGAGCTTATAGCTGGCTCTGGGTCACGGTGTGACACTCCTGAAAGCCAGTAGTTGGAAGGGTGAGGTGAGAATGAGCAAAGATGCCTGGCCGGGGCCTCCTGGTGAGGCTAGGGTTTCAAACAGACAAACCTCAGTTCTCCCGACCAGGCACTGTGGTGTGATCAGGGTCCCAGGCGAGCTGCTCCCGGGGACATGGAGGCCTTCTCGGCGTGATGGCACGGTGGGGACATCAGGGCCTGTCCCAGGGAGCACAAGCTCTCTGGGTCAGCTGCCGGTCTTGACCTCTTTCCAGATGGGACAAGGAGCTGAGGTCAGGAACGGTCCCCTTCTCCCTGGACTATGTGACAAGGGGGATGTGGAATTCGTTTGTGTCGAAGATCAGGGGTCTCCTGGGAGGGCTTGGGTCCCTGTCGGCCTTGTGCAGCAGCTTGAAGAGCCCAGTTCCAATATTCATAGGGATCCCCATGATGATGCACTCAGACACCCCTGAAACCAACCAGACAGGGCATCAGACGGCTTTTCGACACGGGTGGCCTCCCCGCCCCGCGGCTCCCATCAGTCTGAGCCACAGCTGCCCTGCAGGCTCGCCGTCCAGAGCACTGAACGCAGCCAGCAGGGGTACTGAATGATGCCCGGGGAACCCTGACTTTGCCACCCAGTGTTTCCTCAACTGGGGGCCTAGAAGAAAAGCAAACTGGCTGACGTTGGAGACCAGTGCCCTTGGAAACAGCAGTAGAAACTGGTTGCCTATGCTCAGGGGTCAAGGCTGGGTCAGGCTTAATAGCACGCCTGTGCCTTGGAAACGCACAGCCCTAATGGGAGACACGTGGAAGGCAAGGCCCCTGCAGAGACAGGAGGAAGGCAATGGAGCAAATTCTTTCTCCGAACTCCACTCCAGCTTTGGATCAGACTTCTGGTTCCATAACAAGCTAGTGCTTGCCTACTGTATTCCGGGCTTTGTCCTGTCAGGAGACCAGAGAGACAAACCACCAAGCTAAAGACCAACACGGACTGAGAGCTGACACTGAGTTAACAACACTGTAAAGGACGAGGAAGGGGAAGACTTCACAGCAGGGGTGGGGTGACCATGCAGGCCCCGAGGAGGTCACCGGTGGACAGAGGCGGCAGTGTGTGGGGCTGCAGGGCGCAGCACCCCGGTGGCAGGGCCGCAGTGCTGGCCGTTAGTTCCACTGTCAAGCACACTCACTCTTACTTTTGCCTTGGCCTTGTCCCGTCCTCCTGTCCCAATCTCTGCTCCCTTTTTCTTTCCTCTGACCCTTCAGTATCTTAAAAATGATATAGTAATTTCTCTTTTCCTCTGTCTGCAACCTGTGTTCCTTTTGCAAAGAGAAAAAGTCAATCTTAGGAACAGAACAGAGGCACGTGCCCTGAACGGGGCCCCGCCTGACCAGCACGTTTGGCAAATGCATGTAAGACTGGGAGACGAGACAGGAAATGGCCGCTAGGAAGCAGAGCTCTGGTGGTGGGGATGGCGGCCAGGCTGGGAATCTGTGCTTGGGCCAGATGTGTATGTGACCTTGGCCTGGCTACCAAGCCCCCCGCGGACTCCCACCTCGGGCCTGTAGGGTCTTGCATGAGAAAGGACAGAGGACCGCGGGCACTTGGTGCGGGAGCCAGGGAAGAGCCAGCCAGGGCGCAGGCCCTGTTGTGACGGCCCCACCACAGCTCTTCTCTCCCAGGCCACCGTGAGAGATGCGCTGTGTGGTGTGCAGAGGTGGCCGGTGGGTGAGACTCGTCAGCCAGCAAGCTGTCCCCTGTTCTACTTGTGCGAGGGTTTATTTTATTTTATTTTTAAAGATTTTTATTTATTTATTTGAGAGAGAATGAGAGAGAGAGAGAGCGTGAGAGGGGGGAGGGTCAGAGGGAGAAGCAGACGCCCTGCCGAGCAGGGAGCCCGATGTGGGACTCTATCTAGGATCATGACCTGAGCCGAAGGCAGTCGCTTAACCAACTGAGCCACCCACCCAGGTGTCCCATGTGCGAGGGTTTAATACCTGTCCCTTACAGACGTGCTGTGGTCAGTGCATGCAAAGTGCTGGGCCCGGCGGCTCTCCTTCCCCAGGGGTCAGTACAGCGGGGCCACTGGGTGCTGCTCCCTCCTGTCAGCCCTGGCACCACCCAGCGGGGGCAGGGTCAGACTGGCCAACTGCATCTCCAAGGTCTAGAAAAATTCCTTGATGCCCAGGGTTCATCTTTTCTTCTTGGCCCCAAGAAGCTGTCTGTACTGACAGAGAAGCCTTCTAACAGATGAGGGGGGAAACGCAGGGGGCCACAGCCAGGCTTTGGAGATCAAAGATCAATCATTTCCAATTCCGTGATCTTTATTCCTACCACTAAAGCCCGCTGGTGAGGGTCCTAGAAACACCAAACCTACCACACACGGAGTCCTTCTGCCCAAAGTAGGCCGCATCGAAGAGATGATCAGCTGTCTTCTCAAAGGAGGCCAGCATCAGCACACTCTCCTTCATCTTGGCCAGGCCAAACCTCGTGATGCCCAGGACTTCACCCTGCAGCGGGGGAGGAGGAATTAGAGTGGTACTCACACCACTTACAAAAGCCCAGAGCAAACCACACCCCCTGCCTCCCCTCAACAGAGTCAGCCCAAATCGGCCAAGCAGCTGTTCAAGCCAGTCTCGGGTCCGGACAGGACCCTAACAGCGATCTGTCCTACCGGCGTCCCCCTGGGGCTACCAGTCACTGACAACACGGATCTTTCCATTCCCAACCACATGCCATTGGAAGAAAGAGTCACGAACTGAGAGCTAGAATTAAAAACCTAACTTTTTTAAAAAAGAGAGTACTTCTGAAGATATTTATTGTGGCTCAAAGAATTCCAAACTCAAATAATTTAAAAGCCTCACAATAGGGAAAGAGTTAAGCAAATTCAGGCGCTTTCATTCAAGCCCACAGTGCACCATCGTTAAAAAAGTATATTTATAAAAACTATGTGACATGGAAAATACTCATAAAGTTAAATGAAACAGGATAAAACCCACATGCCCACTACTCACCACAACTGTGTAACGTGATATGTGCGGAGAGAATAAGACCAGGAGGCAAGACTTAAAAGTGACAGCCTCTACTGAGGGGCGGAGGAAACGGGCTGTTTCCCCACTCAGTTCTGACCACTTTGTCATCAGGGACAGGTTCCTAAGGGAGGCACTGTGAAAGCCTTATGGCACTGCTACGGTGCATGCATACTAGTACAGGGAATGGATACGTTTTGTGGGAAAAGAGAGAAAATGACCAACCTCATTTCCCACCTAGCCTCCCCTTCAGATCATGGTAACTTATCCTTTACCTGGAAATGGCTACAGAAATCTGAGGAATGGGTTGAAAAGGAAATAAACAACTCGGTTTTCCATGGAAATCCCTGGGCTTTTGGCAATGGCCAGTTTTGCTCTAGGATAACATTTCTAATAAGGACAAAAAAAATAATGCCCCCACCTCCTGCCATGAGGTTGCAAGTTTCATACTGGAGTTTTACCACAACACCCAGCCCAACCCCATGCTTGGTCTTTGAGCGATGGTGACATCTGTTTTCTTTCTGTGGCGGCTGTTACAGCTGGGTGTTCTCCAGGCAGCTGCGAGACAGCGCGGCGCATGGCGCCCTACCCACGAACCTTGTAGGTCATCAGGTCGGACAGCAGCATCACGTGCCTCCTGTCGATGCTCATGCCGTGGTTGACCATCGTGTACTGGATTTCGTTGATGATCGTTGTCCGGGCAGCTTCGATGCCCAGAGTTTTCTCCACCTACAGAGAGCCAAGATGAGTGGAAGCAGCCTCTTCCAGCCTGCTGGCCCAAGTCCTCCCCATGTCCTCCTCTGCCTGGCAGCTTCCCGGCACACTCTGGGCCCTCCGCCAGAAATGGGCTGCTGGGCAATCTTTCGTGTAGACCCACAGCAAACGGCAGCGTCAGAGACGTGTGCCGGGACAACCATAAGGTGACCCTGCGCGTGAACGGTACCTCATAGGTGTTATTGGAGGTGGTGCGGGTGCCCTTCACACCGTGGGTGGCCATGACCGCCCGCAGGTTATCACCCTCCACCAGGAGCTTGTACTTCTCCTTTCCGCTCTGCTCGTCGATGTGGATGACAGCTCTGGAAACCTCCGGGATGCCCTGCACCACCACCTGGACTCAAGAGACACAGAAGGCTCAAGGCCCGGTGGTGCCCACGGCAACCCCACCCCCACCCCGGTAGCCTCAGAAACCACACAGGCTGTGAGAACTGGGAACGTCATGCCTGGGTTGTCACCTTGACCAGCCCCGTTTCTCAGCAGGGTTTATCGGGAACATACCAGACTAAAAGTGCCCGTGTGCTGTTGGGGTTAGGGAGAAAGCACAAGGTCAGGGGGCCATACCACAGTCTACATCAGTTTTACCAGAGAACAGACAGGAATCTAACAGGCAGAGTTGGTGTGGCAGGGCAGAGATGGGAAAAACCTGACTGATTCCAGAGGGATGTGGCAAAAAAGAAGAAACGGACACCCTCCTCTGTCTCTGTAGTGACACAGTCCTTAGGTTGCCTGACACCTGGGTATTCGGGCTAGAGGTAAACGTGGTCTCTCCCTCTACAAATCCCCAGGCATTAGGCTGGGTGGGAGCCCCAAGAGGAGACTTTTGTCTCACCTTGGGGAGATCCTCTTTCAGGAACTGCAGCACATAGTACATGGAGCTCTTGCTGTTCTCTCTGGGGGTGACACACACCACAGCCTCGCCGTGAACGGCCACATCGCCAGGCTTCACGCGGAGCTTGGACATGCAGATGGAATAGCGCACTGTCTCAGCGTTCACCTGCAAGGTGGCCAGACACGGGCCACGCACCCAGGACGTTACTGACAGGGATGGAGGCTTCGATTCCAGTGTTTCTTGGCCTTTTTCCATCACTGCCCCCTGACAAGCCTCACTTTTTCCCTTAATCTCATTCCTCACTGTAAAATTTTAACATGAGGCATACTGTGTATTTGCTTATATACCGCATAAGTATATCTACTTTACTTGTAAACAGAGGAGACTTTCTTCACAACCTCCCGTCACCCCAAACCAACTTCTGCCCCCACTGAAAATGCATGCTCCCTTCACAACAACACACACAGGCTCCAAGGTGGTTCCAGGAGGTAGGGGCCTGGAGAGCAGGACAATCTGTGTGTCAGTGAAGCCTCCCCTTTACCTGACCTCACCACAACTGCTCACGGGCCACAGGCCTTGATGCAACCCAGTCCTTCTGGTACAAGAGCCACAAGGCAGGCGGCCAGAGCTAGGCTAGAGAAGCCCCCAGCCTGGAGACCTGGCTGCTCAGTTCTGGAATCACAGTCTATGGGCAACACGAACTTGGTACTTGAGAGAGCGGGCTGAGACAAAATGTGGCCAGGATGGGTGTTAACTGCCTGAGAGGAAGAGGAAGGTGCCAGAAAGTTACTCAGTTTGCACCTGTGCCTCAGCTGCTCTGCGAGAAAGGTTGCAATTTCTCGCTCTTTACCTGTCTGTGAACACTAGTAATATTAAGCCAGACTAGTCCACCCAGACAAAAACATTCGCCAAGCCAGCCAGGTGCTGAGCTGGGGGCCCACAGGTGAGTAAGACACAGGTGGCCCCCCGCTCCTGCCAGCCCCTCTAATACTGTGTCACAGCAACCGGCTATCGTGGCCTCACACAGTTTCAACAAATTTCCCGTGTGTCTTTAGATGGGAACGTGTGTGTCAGGTTCAGGTTCAGGTTCAGAGAGAGAATGGGAAGGTACACTAAAGACCCTTACAGAACAGAAACCCAACAAAGCCTCCTCAATGCTTCTCGTGCCTGGCTTATTAGCTCCCGCAACAGGTTATCAGCGCCCACCTTGGGACTCACAGAGGATGACCTCCTGCCCACATTTAATGACGTGACTTACTTCCAGTCTCAGAAGTCTGATCCGTTCCAGGGAGAGCTTGACGAGGATAAAGCAGTCATCCGGAAGAAACACTTCTTCAATATACTCGGAAATCTGTCGTGTCAGCAGACCAGAACGTTACACAGCCATTGTGTGGTGCTGCTCATTTTGGGGGACAGGGGACAGCGTGCCCACGCGGCCAGCAGGCCCAGCACAGCCGGAGCTTAGGCGCGGGCTCGCCACACTGCCGCTCTAGAGCTCCTGTCACCAAGACGGACTTCTTACCTCTCCCAAGAGGGTTTTCTCGATTCTGCCCTTCACGAGGCGAGCGTAGTCCGCGTCATCGTCCTTATCCAGCTGCGCCGTGATGATCGGGGTGCTGAGAGAAGACGGGGGCCGCGGTTACAGCTTGGGAAAGAGCCTGCCGGGAGGCCGCTGCCGCGTGACGCCCAGGCACTACTGGAATCCCAGGGCTAAAGGCCACTGCAATTTCCGGAGCACTCGCTGGGGGCCTCACAGACTTTCTTATCCAGACTTTCTATTTTTAGATCTCACACGGCAACCATCAGTGAGTTCCAAAATGAGACGGTTTTTGGAACGTTCTTCCTGACCAAGCGGGCCTATCTCTTCCTCTCTGGTCCCGGCAGGTATGGTTATTTCGATTCTGTACTGACCCTTTACGCTCGTGCTGTAGAGCTTCCTCCACCCCGCCCGCATCACCACCTCGCCAGGACATCTGCCAATCACTTGCCGCCGGCTTCTGCCCTCCCTGTCCTGGCTGGCGTCCCCTGACCACGCACCCCCGGGAGAGACCGGGACAGCTGGCGGTGGCAGCAGAGCTCCTGCCACCCTGGACGCCCACTGTTGCTGCTCTAGAACCAAGCGCCGTGTTCCCTCCTTGGATGCTATTTGTCATCACTTTGGGGGATTCAGATCACAGGTGAATCATGATGAGGTCACAGAATGCACTGCAATGCATTTCTATCTTTTTCCGGTCTCAGATGACCTACAAACCCTACCACGAAACCACTAGGGAGTCATAGACTGTGGCCACAGCTCAAGTGACAGACTCACCAGTCAGGCTTCAGTTGGGAATAACATCTGAAGTTTAAATCTACACAGACATATTGATACAGTCTTTCCAGTCATTTTTTATGTTTCTCTCTTTAACGGGACTTGTGGCCACAGAGAACCACTGCCCCACTTGTGACTGTACCCAGTTTCCACTTATTTTTTCTCAAGTGGGTTTTTTAAAAACCTGGATCTGATGAAGACAAGCATGCCGCCAGAGTTGACAATACTGCCCAGAGTACCACACGTGGTAAGAGAATCGCACGACAGGCAGCATGAGAACAGATGGGAGACAGGGGCAGGCACCTGATGGCCTTGGAAGCATTGATGATCTCTTTGATCCGGGGCACACCCAGGGTGATGTTCATGGACGCCACGCCCGCGAAGTGGAAAGTCTTCAGGGTCATCTGGGTGCCTGGCTCCCCAATGCTCTGGGCACACAGTGCGCCCACCGCAGAACCTGGCTCCATCTGCGCCCTAGAAGGTAAGGGTATGGAAGAATAGTCCAGAAAACTGTTGGGAAGAGGCTTCTGGTTATCTCCTTTCAACAGAAAAAAAATGCAGGTGTCGCCAGGGTCAGGAGGGTATTCCCTATGCTATGAGCCAGGCTGTGCTTGTGACAGGAAGAACCTGGCACGGATCAGCCAGAGGTGCAGACAGGGGGGTGCAGAGGGGGTGCAGCAGTCACAGGGGCCTGATGATGGAAGTGAACACTGTGTGGCTACTTGTGGTCCATGTGCAGTGACTGGGTCCAAACATCGACTGCCTGGAGAAGCGCCAAGAGCTCTGCTAACAAATGGTGCTGACGGTGGACAGTGCAGCCGGCACCCGCCAAGCTACTCCACGGGGGGGGAAGACACTCAGAAACGTCTTCACAATTATTTCCCCATCTTGGAACATCCAGGCTGCCTCCCCACCAGAGACCCTAAGAGAAGAGGTGACAGAACCTGCTCGAACACTGGCAGTGGGTAAGCAGAGCTGGTGCAGGACCTCGCTCCAGTGGGGAAACGGAAAGGACAGGAACCCCACACGTCTGCCTGGCAGTCCAGGAAAATTAGCATCTGTACCTCATGTACTTGTCCCTACAGGTCTCCAGGAACTTTTCGATTTGGGTGGGGGTGATCCGGTCCAACTGGTACAACACACGGGGCTGTAGGGACAGAAACCAAGTGTGCGGGTCAGGCTGCGGGACCCGAGCCCATTGGGGGCACCCGAGCCCGTCGGGGAAGCTGAGCGCTACCTCTGTCGTGCCGTTGTCGTTGATGCCGTATTTATCTCTGGTCTTCTTGATCTTCTCAGACACGCCCTTGACGAAATTTTTTATTTCCTGAAAGAGTACACAGCAAACATCAGTTGTGTATTTCTTGGGGATCTGGATGGCAGTGTGTTTTACAAACTTCGGTAGTGCGATGCGCCCACCAGTTTTGTGATGGCTAGTGACGCCCTCTCCACCCCATCCCACGCGGCCCCCCACACAGCCAGCAGGGGCCACAGCAGGAGAGCCCGACGCGGCCGCCATCTCCTCTGCTCTCTGGGCATACATGTCGCCTGCATCCACCCAGCTCCGAACAGCTAGAACTGTACCATTTATAAACTCGGAGTCTCTAAATGGGCTTAGGTTTGAGGCTTTCTCCTGAAGTTAGGATCAACTGAAGTACCAGCTAAAGCACAGCTTTGGAGACGCTATATACATTATAAACACACGGGTTCGGCTTGCCTTCATTTCAAAGAAGACACGCCCAAATCCCTGCTTCTCTTTCTCTCTCTGACCCTCACCTCTGCCTCACCCCCACCCCCCGTCTCACTTGCCCTTCCCAACAATTAGGACTTGGTAAGGATTCCCGGAAACCAGGCTGGGAATGAAACATCGGTGTCTGCGGTCCCCTCTGTATTGCAAAGTAGCACTCTAAGCCCCGGATGGGGGTACATGGAGCAAGGAAGGTGACAAGGACATCATGTGGACAAAGCACAGGACAGGGCTAAAGGCCTCAGACTTACATTTTCTGGTAATCACTCAAAGTGGAAAACCTGTTTCACAATTTGTGGTGTATCTCTGACATAAACCAGCCCAGTGGTCACCTCTGGAGCCAGGATCTAGAACGAGGATTGGCCAGCACTCAAGGAGGACTTACGGAGGGGGTGATGGGCTTTAGTAAGCTATGTCCATCAAAGCCTTGCTCCCGAGGGCTCAGACGTCAAGCGCTGTGGGACCGACTCTAAGAGCACTTCCCAGGTGAGTGGATGGCACATGCCATGCAGTGACAAAATCCTTCAGAGGCTGCTATGACACAGGCCTGGGGGGCTGGCGATCAGCCGCTCTAGTGTGATCCAGGGGTGTTTGTGAGAATGTGGGAAGAGTGGCTGGACTACACTTCGCCTCAGCAGTGCTCCTGGAAATATAATTTCCCTCACTGACTTTGGACAAATAACAGTGGCAGTGAGCTTAACTGTCACTCCTGAATGTCCGTGCAGGCACCCAGCTGCTCTGTGTGGCTGGCTGAGTGTAGATCCACACACGTGGACAGCCCAAGGGCAGGGGGAAGTCCTGTTTCTCCATTTCAAGGCAGGCTGAGGGACCCCAAGGAGAAGGCCTACATGCCCCCTACCCAAAGTCTACTCTGTCTGTATCACATAGCTGAAAATGTCTGTTTTGTCTGAAACAAATATTTATTTTTTTCATCTTAAATTTTTATTGTTATGTTAATCACCATACATCATTAGTTTTTGATGTAGTGTTCCACAATTCATTGTTTGTGCATAACACCCAGTGCTCCACGCAGAACGTGCCCTCTCTAATACCCATCACCAGGCTAATTCATCCCCCCACCCCCCTCCCCTCTAGAACCCTCAGTTTGTTTTTCAGAGTCCATCGTCTCTCATGGTTTGTCTCCCCCTCTGATTTACTCCCCTTCATTCTTCCCCTCCTGCTATCTTTTTTTTTTAACATATATTGCATTATTTGTGAAACAAATATTTTAAAGCGGATGGAACCAGCAGCCTACTCTTACAAAAATAAGACCCTATCGGCACCCACAGAGAGCTTAAAACTTCCTAGAGCCCAGTTCTACTTTAACCTTGCAACAATAAGTCTCTTTAGCCTCCCACAGACCACCTAGCAATTTCTAGTTACTATATTTTCTGAAAGCAAAAACCGCTAATAATGTTCTTATTTTAAATGGCCTTAGCTTATTATATCCAAATGGTCCAAGGCTCATGGGCTGTCCCCAGTCAGCTGCTGCCTGGCGGGGTGAGGCCTCCCTGTGAGGTGGCATGGCATTAACCCCATCGCTCTAGAGCGGAGGGCCCTGAGGGGCTCAGGGAGGTCACGGGCTTGGCCAAGGTGACAGGCCTCTCCTTGAAGTCAGATGCTTTCTCTGAAGACTGCTCTTGGGGCAAGAGGTTCCGCAATGTTATCCTTGCCCACTGGTGATTTCTGTCTCCTCGGAGCCCAGCTAACCAAGGGGCTGCCTGAGGTCCATCATACCCTATCCCCTGTTTATGAACGTAGCTTTCTTGTGATGACTGCTCTTGGGGGCCAACTCTCTTCCTTCTCGAGAAAGTGTGGAATACATGAGGGGTACTGTGCCCTTCCGTCATCATTCTACAGAAAGGATTTTCATTAATTTACAAGATCTGAAATGTTTTCAAGAAACTCTTCTTAAAGAGGAGCTCTCCCGGTTTACTTACTGACTGTGAGAGGGAGACCACACTTCTAGGCAGTCAGTGACTGCAAGCCAGAGGTGGGACCTAGACTGCAGGGGGCAGTGCGACAGTCTCTCCTGGCACGGCTCCGCTCGGCAGAGGCACTCACAGCTGCTGCCACCTCCTGCCCTCTCTGCGACACTCAGTGCAGAGAACCTCTTTCACACTGCTCAGTCCCTTCCCCAGCCTACTCATCTAGCTGTGGTTGTGTTCTTCAGGGCGAGCTGTTGATCCCAGGTGTTCAAGGCCGCCCCACTGCCGGCACAGCAGAACTGCAGCGAGAGCCCAAGGCTGAGCAGACCCAGGGGATTTTCATCTGAGGAACTCGGCCCGTGCGAGGAAAAGAACACGCACTGAAAACCACTTCCCAGCGTAGGGCACTGGAAATGAGGTCTTTCAGCTACCACCCAAATGGACATGCTTCTAGTGGCTTTGCTGAAAGGAACGGTTTTCCTTACACAAAAGTTAGGGTGGATTTTCTAAAAGTTAGGTCAAAAAAAAAAAAAAAGCTCACTTTGTAGAAATGAAAACTCAAATAAGCTACTAAGAGTTCAGGTGAACCAACCCATGCATACTAAGAGAAACTCACAACACGGCAACTGGCAGGCAATTAATCACATGGCTAACCAGCAGTTACGTTCTCACACTCACTCCACAGCACATCCGCGAGCACGGGCAGTGGCTCCCGGAGGGCCTCAGCTCTGGCACAGGCTGGGGCTGGAGAACACATGAGGGGCTCAGACAGAGCTGTTCTGGCCAGTGGATTTTGGACTTGAGTTCATTAGATTGTGAGCCCCTGGAGGGCATGGACACATTTAGTCATCTCTGGGGTGTGTGACACGTATTGAGGGCTAGAAGGAGTACTCCCTGAGGAAGCACACACTGCGGGCCGGGGGCGGGGGGCACCGTTAAACCCTGTCAAAGGCAAGAAAGGAGCCAGAGTGATGGACAGGGAAGCCACGTGTGCCAGAAATGGGGCGGAAGCCTGTCGAGTCCGGGGAGGGCCAACAGCCGGACTGCTGCAGACTTCACCCCTTATGCTCAGCATTCCCAGCATGCTCAGTGTGGTACCTCGTTATATTTCTCATAGCCTGTCTCAGTTAAGGTCTTTGAGGATAAACAAAAAAGTAAATAAGTGAATACAGTCATGTATAAAAACCAAATCACAATTCTAATATGTTAAAAAAAAGAATAAGAAAATTTATAAAAACAAAACAAAACAAAGGCATTCAGCCCAGCCATACTCTGGATTTTAAACTTATTAAAATCTGGAAGAGTCTCTTTTTCCCCTTTCACACCTCAACATATAAAAAGAGTCAAGAGCTTCCTTAACTAAAACTTTCTCATTTATGTTTTGCTTTACTGCTGTCATTTCTGATATACTGAAAGGGAAAGATTCCTGACAATTCTGTGCTGAATTTGAGTCACTGATCGGTACACAGAGGCTACCATCATTTACTGGTTTCTGTATCCCTCTGCTTTTGATCATAACTATGATTATAAACAGGAAGGAGATGCTTGAGCAGGTCAGTGAAATTAAAAAAAAAAAAAACCAACAAACTAAAAAACCTTAAGAGGATATCAAGGTAACAGCGCCCTGGAAGAAGAAGGCTGGCTGACTCAATGAACTTCGGATCCACACTATCGCAACAGGAAGAGCAATTTAAAACACCACCACTACGGGCACCTGGCTGGCTCAGTCGGTAGAGCAGGCGACTCTTCATCTCTGGGTTATGGGTTCGAGCCCTGCCTTGGTGTAGAGATTACTTACAAATAAAATCTTTAAAAAATAAAAATAAAACACCACCACTAGGAAAAAAATCACTACAATTCACAACGACTGTGGGAAGAGCTGGTCCCTCAAGATGGGGAAGCGGGTAAAGGGGTTGGTAGGGACATGGTTAAAAAAAAAAATCAGTTCTTGGGCACCTGGGTGGCTCAGGTCATGACCCCAGGGTCCTGGGATTGAGCCCCGCATCGCATCGGGCTCCCTGCTCGGCAGGAAGCCTGCTTCTCCCTCCCCCACTCCACCTGCTTGTGTTCCCTCTCTCGCGGCATCTCTCTTGGTCAAATAAATACATAAAATCTTTAAAAAAAAAATTAGTTCTCTAAAGGAGGTATTTTTCTAGGAGGGAGACACTCCTAGAGTGAGAGACATACACTAAGAAGGACATGATATAAATTCTTCATGTTGGCTAGTGATATTTTGCCTGAGCCAGTCCTGAAATTTTTAACAAAGAAACACTCTTAATGACCTCCCCACCCTTGCTTATAAAATCCACCTGCTGGAACGCAGCAACCATCTCTTGGTGATGGCCAAGCTGGGTGCGCACCCCCAGCAGCAGAACTCACCTGCAGGAAGCTGTCCTGGCAGCAGAGGAACTCAGTCTTCTTCATGATCGACTCAGTGGTCAGGACCAGTTCATTTTTACTTAGCGCAGGCTCGCTCTGACACGGGAAGACTGCCTCGAGTATCAAAAGGAGATAGTGTGATGTGTATGGGGGTGACAAAGGGTGGGGGGCAGTATTAAGTGAAAGAATTTATAAGAGACAAAATGACTTTTCTCAGTTCGAGCTTTTACCAACCTGTGATTTTTTTTCTTTCAAAACGTATTTTACAGTCTACCTTTAGTATGAAGGTGACAACGGGATAACCCCACTCCACCCCACACGAAGACTTGTGGAAGAGTGGGTATTGTTCCATTACAACCTTCACCCCACCCCAGATTCGTATTAAAAATATATATTGTTGTTTTAAAAAAAACCAAACATTTCAGGAGTGAAAATCCCATCCCCAAGCTCATGGGATTTCCCCAAAGTTTTAATGGCTGCATATTACCCTAATATATGAGCAAATCACTATGTATTTGATTTATACTTTACTGATGATTTGCCTTTATTATAAACGATGTTGGAAAACCACTCTTGGCACATTTAGATCATTTCTGTAAGGCAAATTTCTATAAGTGGAACTACTGGGTCAAAAGACACCCACATTTAAATTCAGATCAGTATTGTCAAACTACCTTCTGAAAAAGTTGTTCTAAATTACACCCCAGTTAAAGTATGTGCTTTAGTAAAAGTTTAAAGCTTGCTTCTCAACACCCACAACTTTTAACGCTGGCCTGTAATACGCTTCACCAGACAGAGAGAAACCCAAAGTCCTCTTCTGTGCAATCACTACCAATGCTAGACTCTGAAACCGAAAAAATACTTTCCCTTACTATTTGGGAAAATTATGCAGAGTACACAAGAAGAAACATACTAACCCAGTAGCTGGGTAGAAATAACTGAGGCATTACCTGTGTGAAACTCCAGAGGACACCTCCATTCCAAACACACATTCTCAGAAACACTCTAACCCCAGATATAATGCTAAATCTTACTTTGATGTTGTCCAGAACTCTTTTGAACTCTAACGGTTCATCTTTTCCCTCCATAGCTGCAGGATCTAAGCCATCTCCCCCGTAAATGAACTGGATAATATCACCCGTAGAGCTTCGGACTGTCAGGTCATACTGTGAGCACAGATCTTCAAGGGACTTGACGAGCCTCCTCTAAAGGAAGAGAAGGAGAGGAAACAAAGGCTCAGTTGCTTTGAGAAGACTAGTCACATGTGCAGAGGATGGGATCTGCAACACTAAGTTTCAAGGTTACTAGTACTTTCATCAGTTAAAACACTGTATTAGACATCTCTTTTAAAAAGAGTCCCCTGACACTCAGAACAACAAGCTCAAAAGTGGCCCGAGAGCCTGTGCAGGGGGATTTAGAATATGCTCCAACCTCACGCACTCTAGTGTATTTTTGAGTACATGCAATTTAAGCCCCATCACCCCCAAAGGACTCTGCAAACACTAGCTGTTTTCCTAGGCTGTTTTGCCTTCCCTCTCTTTCTCCCTAAGGTACAAATTAATGCAACAGCTTTGCATTTCTAAACACAACTTAATCCAGGACCCCTGTGGGCTTCAATATGAATTACAGAGGATCAGGTGCAGGCCCTCTTCTGGGACACAGGGGGAAGAATAGAGAACAGGGACAGCATTGTGTCTGAACCAGCGGGCAGCAGCCATTCCTCAGATCTGCTTAGGGAGAACCTTCCACCAGCAGAACACTCCAGCCAGCAATGTGACGGTGGCTCAGTGAATTAGAGAGAGCGAAATCTTCCTCCAGGCAACCTCAAAACAAAAATCCCTCATGCCAGAACAAATTTGTTCTAGGTTAACAAACTGCTCTGGGAAAGTCATACTCTACTTCGAAAAGGTAAAGTCAAAAAAATAAAGTCAAAAGACATTCTGGCAAGAGTGGTGAAAAGCATTTCACAGTCTGTTGGGTTTCTGACAAAAGCAACACGCTCCAAAACTGAAGGGCAATTTCCCATCCAAAGATAACGAAAAGGGAAGTATCGATGAGGATACACACGTACAGGCGAGCTCATGGACATAGCTGACTGCTGACCCGAGTCCGCTCCCACCCGCAGCAGCCTTGTTTGTTCTGGCTCCCTCAGCCACATCCCTGCTTTATCAGTCCTGCTGTCCCAGCCTGCAGAGGGCTGTGCTTCTCAAACTGGGGTCCACAGCGGGGAGAGAGGGGAAACAAAGCCACAGTGAGGGCAGGGCCCAGCAACTGGGAGATTTAACTTTATCTGGTGTTATAAGGAGACAAAAACATTGAAAAAATGTAAAAACAAACACAGATCATAGAGGACAGGGTAGAAAATGATAATTAGAGAATGAAAAGAAATCCTTTGCTTGTGGTCTTATGGAAGAACAAAGTCGGGATGTGTTCTCGCTCCTCTGCCATTCGGGGTATTTTTACGGTGGTTGGAGAAGCATAGGCATTGGGAAACCCTCTAGTTTCCTTCTGGCCCCCCGAGCCCATTATCCTGGAACTGTGCAAACAATGGATAAAGAGCCATCCCTCCAAGTGGCCAAGGCCTCTGCCGGCACTGGAGTAAGTTCTTGGCGTCAGTTAAAATCATCCTAATAATGGGTTACACAAATAGTTGCCACATGAGAAGGAGAGCCCTCTCAGCGATCGGGAGGTACTATCATCTCCATCTTCATGTATTAGGACACAGAGGCCCAGTGAGGTCAATGATGTGTCCCCAGATGCACTTCCAGTCCATGTTCTCAGCAGAGCTTTGGCGTGTGTGGTTTTGGCCTGATCTGAGTCCCTTGAGGCACATGGGATGAAGTGAACACATTACCTTTTTAGTCTGTTTGCTTCTACGGCACCTGCATTTCTCAATTTTTCCTTTTAAATACTAAGACCCGATACATTACAGCTCATGTACAAAATACGTAAACACTCAGCAGTCAAAATCCTCAGAACCTTGTCCTGCCCAGCCGCAAATGGCCTATATTTCTTTGAATTACCTGCATGTACCCTGTTTCAGCGGTCTTTACGGCTGTGTCGACGAGACCTTCCCGGCCAGCCATTGTGTGGAAGAAAAACTCGGTCGGTGTCAAACCGGAATAAAAGCTATTAGCCACAAAGCCTTTGGCAGCTGGGAGCTGAAGAGAGGTGGGGGAAAAAAGAAACAAAAAAACCTTCAAGGTCCACAACTTCAAAACCCATTCAAATCACAAAACGCCCCACCTTTAGACTATAAATACCTGGTCAGTGCACGCTCATGAAGGGGCAGCCTTTACAAGCCCTTTCCTTTTTTTAAAAAAAGATTTTTAAAATTTATTTATTTGACAGAGGGAGCACAAGCAAGGGGAGCTGCAAGCAGAGGGAGAAGCAGGCTCCCCATTGAGTAGGGAGCCCGATGCGGCACTTGATCCCAGGACCCTGGGATCATGACCTGAGCCGAAGGCAGACGTCCAACCGACTGAGCCACCCAGGCGTCCCATACAAGCCCTTTCCTAAAGGAGGAATAACTTGGCATAAACTATCCTTCCCAGAGAAAAGCGAGGGTGAGGTCCCAGTCAGGGCTGGTGCTAGTGCCAGCGGCAGGCAAGTGGACCAAGAAGTCTGGATGCCCCTAGCCTCTCCCCCAAACTCATCAGTTTCCCTTAGAACTGTGAACCTGACCTACACAGCAGGCACCATTCCAATGACCACTTGGCTGTCTGACTTCTAGTGAATTCTGATCTTGGGCAGAGACCCTAAAATGTTCCTGGGGCTATCTGGATACAGATAGTACCCATATGCTCTCAGTACAGCAGTCCTGTCCCCCCAAGAGGGGCTGGACAAAAACTCTGCAGTCCCATGGGACAGGAGCAGCTAGGGCATCTGTGCTTTAATGGGAATAAGAGCTGACTCCAAATCCACAATCTGAGTAACCAAATCTACTCTAAGTTCCTCAACTAGATTTAATAGTTGTCTGCCCCTGAGTTCCAGAAAAAGCCCAGCATAGATTTGTCTATCTTTGTCTATCTCTGCTTATATTAGCCCTCAAACCACAAGGCCAATGAAACCCAGAGGTCATTTAAAAACTGAGTTTGAGGGGTGCCTGGGTGGCTCAGTTGGTTAAGTGTCTGCCTCTTGATTTTGGCTCAGGTCATGATTTTGGTTCAGGTTATGGTCTCAGGATTGTGAGATCGAGCCCCGCATCAGGCTCTGTGCTGGGTGTGGAGCCTGCCTACGATTCTTTCTCCTTCTGCCCCTCTCCCCCTGCTCACATGCATGAGCACAGGCTCTCTCTCTCTCTCAAAAACAAACAAGCAACAAATAAAAAAAACAAAAAACTAAGTTTGAGAACTCGAGAGAAGAGTCTGGAATTTCCTGGCTGTTTTAGTGTGGCTCCTATCATCACTATTTTAAAATCACCATACTTTGATGTCAGTGCCCCCAAAATAAGCATACAAATGGATCACGCATAAGGTAACCTTACATTCTGATTACTGAACATAAGCTGGATAGGACCCTGAAATCCTCCTCCTTGGAGAGAAAACAAAGAAGCGGGTATCGATCCAGTTTTATAGCTGCGAGTCTAACAGGGTCCTACATGACTCAGTCGGGGATAAGGGAAGACCCTGAGCAGCAGCCCCGGCCTCACAACACCTCCTCCAGGAACGCCTTAGTTGGCAGCACGCGCTCCGGTTCCTCTCCTGTGCCGTTGGTCGCCCTTCAAAGCTCTGCCTGAGCCGCTACACTTACCTTTGAGTGTTTTTCAAAGTGAGGCAAGGACCTGTTTTCAAAGCCATCTGGCACTCGAGAGCCACTGATGGCCTGCTGTCCCACACAGGCAATCATCTGTGATATGTTAATGAAAGAACCTGGGGAAACAGGTTAGGAATATAACATTCATTTACCAAAATAACATTAACTGAAGTACGAGCAGATCTGTGGGATAAAACAGGACTGTGACGTAGCAGGCTCCCGGTCTAGGGCCGGTAAGAGCCAGAATGAGAACAGTATAGGATAGAGCCCTCAGTAACAGAACAAAGGCAGAAGGACAGCGGGCAGAGCTCAGCAGGGAGTCAGCACTTTGGGGCTGGAAGAAAGACTTGCAGGTGAGTCTGCGGCCAGGCTGAACAGCGGCAGAACACTACGATTTGGACATGAAAGGGGACAAGGAATTCCAAGGTAAGCGGAAGAATGGGAAGGAAAGACACAGGAATGGGAAAGTGGGGGGCATGCATGTGTACCAGGGGCAGGAAGGAGAATCCTGGGGGGAAAGGCAGCAAAGTTGGACTTTATTCTGCTAAAAAAATTTACAGAAATAGAAGCAGGGAGGTTTTGAATCTGAGTGCAGTACCATGCAACCTAACGCTTTCAGGTCCTAAATAACTATAAAATTAAAGTGTTTTGCCACGTCATTAAATATATTAGCTTAGATATACTAGCTCAGAAAGTTTTTTTTTAAAAAATAAGGTCAAGTTTGCTTGAAGCATCCCTGAGCTCTGAAATCCACACGGATTACACAAGTTCCTCCAGGGGAGTTAAATTACCACCATGCAAATAATTAAGTCTCTTTCTCTATATATGATTTAAAAAGCTATCCCCTTATAAATAAAAGGTCTGAAGTTACGACGTGTACATTTCCTGGCACGACCCCTGCCAGCCCATGTGGAGGATGGGGACAGCGGCAGCCGGAGGTGCACTCACCCTTGGAGCCGCACAGAGCCATGGTGAGTGGGCTGTTGCTCTTATCCAGCTCCCGGAGACAGGCACTGCCTGCGTGGTCTCGGATCACAGACAGCTCCTTCAGGATCAGAGCCTGGCAGGGAGGAAGAGAGGCGCGTGGGGGCTCTGTCAACTACCAGTGTTCATTCTGACACTGAAATTTGAAAAAATTTAAGCCAGATGTTGGATTTCCACTTAAGGTTTTCAAACCTTATCTATGAAGACCCACATCTTCCACGAGGTTCTAAAATCAGTGCTTAAGGTCAAACTGATTAGTACTAAAACCCTGAAAAATCCTTATTTATTTTTTAAATCCCTTAAATGCCCATAAGGTAGAATGCGAATGGCTTTGTGTATAGCGAGTGCCCTACAGCATACTACGTCTGTGTGTACGTTACTGTATACGTACATACCCGCTTAAATAAACGTAAGGAGTATAAGCTAACACGTGGTATACAGTAAAGGAGAATTGCTTGTACTATTATAACATTTACCTCTTGTTTTTTTACTTTCCAAGTACACATGTGAATTTCCACAAGTTAAGAGCATGTGATAAAGTGACTCTACAAGAATATTCTAGTCTTTGAGCTCTTCCACAGGCTATCCTTTCTCAACTCACAATTTAGGGTGCTGCATCAGTGAGGAGTCAGGTTCCACGAAAATCAAGTACTGCAGAAGCCCCAGGTAACTTTCCAGGTAAGTCAATGAGAAACCTCTGTTTCTCTCTCTCTTAAGACTCAGTGAGATTAAGAATGAGCTAATGGTCAATAGTGCCTATACAACTCTGCTTTCTTCCTAGTTCATGAAAAATTCCTTCCATCGGAAAATTTCTTACTGCTTCTCTGTTCTTCCACACTTAGGTGAGTTAAAGCCCTGAGCCGGGGCTGCAGCGGAGACCGGAGAGAGCCAGGCAAAATCCTGGTGCAGTCAGACTGCTGATGCAGGCTGCCTGAGAGAGAATGTAGGGCTCGCAGAGGCTGGTGGTCCTTCTGATTCTGACACTTGCTGGTCCAGGTCTCAGCTAACCTAGTTTCAAAGGTGACAGGGGCAGCAGATAGGCATGTGACTCTCAGACTTTTCTGAATTTTCTCTCTTCTGTGTTCAAGTCTCTTTCGAAGACCATCTGTTGATTTTTATTTTATTTTTTAAAGATTTTATGTTTAAGTAATCTCTGCACCCAATGTGGGGCTTGAATCTACAACCCCGAGATCAAGAGTCGCATGCTCTACCGACTGAGCCAGCCAGGGGACCCATCAAAGACCATCCATTTAAAGAGCTGTGGTTGCCGGTCTCTACTGGAGAGATGCTAGAAATAGAAAGGGCAGAAGCACTGCAGTACCAGTTACAGCAGGGGCCTAAGTGTAATGCTGGAATAAGAGCAGCCCCATGTGGTCAAGTGAGCAGACAGCCATGTTTGTACCACCTAGGAACATGAAAGCTGCTAGGGATGTAAATGGATCTGATTGAAGGTCCCTCATTAAATGAACGAGCACACACCCAAGCAGCACAGAGCTGACCTGGGGCTAAAGCCACGGTGTTGATTTCTCCCTCCCCTCTGCTACCTTCTCTTCCGGCTTGCAGCACAAGCCCACGCGGACCAAGTGGCTAACCCACCCGAAGAGCCAGACGCACCTCCAGAGTCTCCTCAGCGGTGCAGCCAGGCTGCTGCTGCAGCTTGCCTGTGTTCAGGGCTTCGATGTACTCATCACATTTTTTATAGCCAGCGTTCAGCAACTCATACTTGGCCTTCAGCAGTCCTTGACCAGGTGTGACGTCACCAATCCCAATGGAGAATCCACGGTTTGCTGCAGAATAGTTGGCAGGTAGAGCAGAAAGAGAGGGCCACGAATGTTCGTCAACATACTACACGGAAACAAGTTTACACCTTCAGAAACATATCATGATCCAATTAAATAAAAATGTATCACGGCAGTTCCTAGTAAATTATATAGAAATGACCAAGACTCACTGAATCCTGTCAGAGACCTTACAACCCAGTGGGGGGCAAGTAATGTCTCCAACTAATTATAATATAAAGCAGACTGATATTAAACACTAAAAAGCAGCCAGAGAAAGCCAGCAATAGAAAGTGAGCCATCTGACTTCTTGTTCTAAGATACCATCTTAGAGATCTTTCTGCCCACTCCCTCTTGCTTCTTCAGAAATCATTCTAAAGCACAAAAAAACCCTACCATTGAGGGAACTATGCCCCACCAATTACCCAGCCCTAACGTATGTAGAAATGGGTGAACAAGAGGCACCTGGCTTAGTAGTGTGGGGAAGGGATGCCGAAGAGTGGCTGTGGAAATGAGGACCCACGAGTCTGGGAAGGCTCAGAAACTGTACCATCAGCTCTGCAGATGCTGCAGATAATGTATGTGTTGGAAATAAGGAAACCTGGTGGAATATCAGTATTTTCCTGTGGGAGACGGGAGTTTACTAATGGAATCAGAGAGCTCTGGACTGGGGGGTACTAGGTGCAAAAAGGTGGGAACGACTGGAAAGCAGGGCATGAGGCAAAGTATATTCCATGGCTGTGATCCCTTGGCCCCTTTCCCTGTCCAGCTCCCAGAATCCTGGCAAGCAGGTCTCAACCACTGTGGGGGGAGACTGAGACTGGAAGATATGTCCCTGGAGAAACCAAGCCTCCCTAGAGAAAAGCATTTCTGACAGGAATATTTGGCAGTTTCTCAACAAAAATGTTGGCTTGCAGCTCAATCAAGGCACAGAGAAGCCCATCAACCAACAGGCTACATTTCTTATCAGTGTTTGGTGTCTCACTCCTAAAAGTATGAATGGATAGCCAGGGACCACCAGATATTTGAGGAAAGTCTTCAACATGAAAGACTGAAGACAGCAAGTGCACAGAAAAATGAAAGTAAGGAGAAAATTCAGGGAGCAAATAAAACTATGAAAAATATTGTGTCTGAGAGAGATGTATCTGGAGATCAAGAACAGGAAGGCTTAAAAAACAAAAAACAAAAAACCCAAAAAAACTCCCAAAAAGCAAAAAACTACACCTACAAATAAGAACAATGGAAAATATGGTTGGAAGCTAAATAAATGATAGTTAAAATTAAAAAAAAAATCAATAAAACAAATCACTTTAAAAGATAAAAGGAGGGGCGCCTGGGTGGCTCAGATGGTTAAGCGTCTGCCTTCAGCTCAGGTTATGATCCCAGGGTCCTGGGATCGAGCCCCACCTTGGGCTTCCTGCTCAGCAGGGAGTCTGCTTCTCCCTCACCATTTGCCCCTCCCCCTACTCATGTGCACACGCTGTCTCTAGCTATCTGAAATGAGTAAGTCTTAAAAAAAAAAAAGATAAAAGAAATCCAGAAATAAGGAGATGGACAACAGGGAAAAGAAGATAAGGAAATCAGACAGCTGATCTAGAAGCTCTACTTACACAATGAACGGGAATTCCAAAAAGAACAGAGATAATTAAGGTGAGAAATTACCAATACCAACAACAAAAACCCAAAAACCAAACCAAACCAAACACAAGAAAATTTCCACAACTGAAGGACATATGGTGGCAGATGAAGAGAGCTCACAGAGCACAATGAAGAGACCCATTCCAAGGGAGTACCACTATGAATTTCCAGAACACCAAAAACAGAGGATGAGATTCTCAATGCTTCCAGAATGAAAAGACAGATACAACAATTTGAAAATAGCAATAGAAATCCACTTTAACAGTAGCTCTGGGGGCTAGAGGAGAGCAGGACCTTCAAAATTCCGAGGAAAGACAGAATTCAATCCAGAGTTCTATACCCAGCCAGAGAATCGATCAAGTGTGGGAGCTGAATAACAATGCTTCTGGGCATGTAACAATCTGGCCCAGGGCCTGCTCCAAGTCCGAGCAAACAAAGGGAATGGAACAGTGCAAGGAGCGGGGGGGAGGATGAGGGCCTGGCAGGGCCCAGTCACGGGGGCCCAGGGGGCTGAGGTCGGAGCGCGGGCACCTGGGAGGAACCTGGGAAGGGCCCTTGGTCTAAGGACCCTGTCTGAGGGGCAACAGGGGGCTACTGCGCACGTGAGACAAGAACTCAACAGCAAATTCAAATCTGAACCAAACCGGTCAGTACTGAGCTAATTTCATGAGGGGAAAGCACACATGATTCAGCCGGGAGTAAGTCTCCTTTCCTGTGCTCAGGTATGTGTGTGCTGTGTGCGGGTGGGGGGAGTTAGAGGTAAAAGAAGGAAACAGCACAGAGCCCCTAAACCTCAGCAAGTACCGCAATAAAACGAGGATCCTGAGGTACTCACAGAGGTAGACAGGAGCCAGCCTGGCAAGCCGCGACATCGCATCGGCCGCTTCGTTCTGCCCCCAGTCTCGCAGCAAAATGTAGAAAATGTTGTTCTTGGATCCGGACCCCAGAGTTCCCTTGTCCATACTGCCACTCATCAGCTCACTGTTCTGGATAGTAACGTCTGCAAGGATAACGATGGCCATGCACTTAAACAATTACTACTGAGTTAGCCTCGTTCCAAAATGCACATGACGTGGTTGAGAAGATACCTTCCCATATTGAACATTAAAGCAGAGCAAATAAAAATTCTCTAAAAACGTCTGAGTGGGGCGCCTGGGAGGCTCAGTTGTTAAGCGTCTGCCTTTGGCTCAGGTTGTGATCCCAGGGTCCTGGGATTGCTGGGATTGAGCCCCGCATCGGGCTCCTTGCTCAGCCGGGAGTCTTCTCCCTCTCCCTTGCCCCCTGCTTGTGTTCCCTCACTCGCTCTGTCTCTCTCTGTGTCAAATAAATAAAATCTTAAAAAAAAAAAAAGTCTGAGGAGAAAGAAATCTAGGGACTTTTGAAAAGCATGAAAAACCCAGTTAATTACTTCACAATCCTAACTCTTAAATGTACTACCTGACCCTCATTTTCAACTGTGAACTGAGAATGACAGTGTTGACCAATTGTCATCTTTCTGTCACAGGGACAATTTGAGCATCTGATGAAATCATGTGCAACAAAGTACTCTATCAACTATAAAGCACATTGCTATTCACACAAGAGAATGAAAACTAATGGCACCTGGAAGAGCCTATACCACAAAACGAAATTCACATCTAGGTAGAAACAAAACACAATCTAAAACAAGAAGCCAAAACACCTTGAAGACCAGACAATATATTTTCAAAGTAATGGTTATAATCCTGAGAAAAATTGGTGCCCTTTGAAACATTTACTCTTCATGACAAAACAGTAGAAGTCTTGACCCTCAGAGACTCTGCAGTTCAGTTCTTCTGTGCAGAGTCCTGGAGAACTATTTCTTGTCACAAGGCCTGGCTAACAAAGCCCATTCAAAGTCAGTGCCATTCACAGTAGTCCGCTGGGGAACTGCTTGTTAGCAGTCTGAGGGGAAGCAAAAGAGCTCGCTCAACAAACCAAACGCTGGCTGAATGGCATTGGTCCGTGGACCATACTTTGGGTTGAACTAGTCTGGATGTCTCGGATGGTTTAACATTTAAATCCTCTCATGGTTACACCTCATCTTCATGTTACAAAAAACTCACTGACCAGGAGGCAGTAAAAAAAACAGTCCTATTAATTATGCTTTTAGACAACGAATACATTTTTGGAAGTAAAATAATAAATTATATACCTTAAAAAATGAGACCCTTGCTGATGGCAAAAAAAAAAAAGGGGTAGGGGCAGAATAAAAGAAATTGCATGAATTTACAGAAACTCATCACCTAAAACACATCTGGAGCTCTGGAGAAGAACATTCTAATCACTGGATCACGTACCTACATGATTTCTACTTTTTAGAGAAATGGGGAGTCACATCTGAGCGGAGAAACACCAACTACATTTCCCCGAATAAACTTCCGGCCTAAGAGCAACCTCGGATTTGCTTGCTCCGGGAAGGCAGTCACTGGCCACCTGTTTTCCGCCCCCTTCCACCCTGCTGCCTTCACTCACAGGAATCATTGACACAGAGATCTTCTCCTTTGCCGCAGTACTGCTTGCCCTTGGTTCGGAGGTTGGCCCTCACTGGGTTGTCATCACTCGGTCTGAGGATGACACTGAAGATCTGCTTTCCCGTCCATAGGGTGACAGGCTGCAGAAGGAAGCCACCGCATCAGTTGGCTGAGCCTGGTCTCGACTGCACAGTGCTCGCGGGCTAACCTGCCACCAGCACCCCAGGCACCCACACAAACCTTTAGTATCGTCGGGGGTGGGAGGTGAACTTTAATTTTCTCATCCTTGCCAACCAATATTGAAGCAATGATTTGGCAAGCCTTGGCGCGGTCAAAGAAAGTGTCCTTAAGGGTGAGGAGATAGGCACCTACGAATGTTGGCAATAACACAACACAAAGAAATGGAATGAAACTGTGAGACAATCACAAGGTTTCGATTTTAAAATCAATGTGGGCTATTACCGAAAGAGTAAATTAAAACATAGAGCTACTTGCTGGCTCTCTCCTCCCACCAGAATCGAAGCTCCACAAGGAGAGGGACTTCGTCTGACTCAATGCTGTATCTCCAGTGCTTAGAAAAATGTCTAGGGCACCTCAGAAGCTCAACGAATGCTTACTGATTCCAGGCATAACCAACCAACACAAAATCTCTCAAGTCGGTTCACAGTCAACACTTAGTAAACGAACAACAGAATTAAGCCCAGGGAATTACACAGCTAAGTTGTGACACGATTCACTGGGAAAGAGAATCCTGGCGTTCCAGTCTCCCTTCAAGTGACTTCACACACAAACCTGTCAGAAAATCCTGAATAGCAGCAATCAGTGGTTCTCCATTCCTTGGTGTTACCAGATTTGCTTTCGTCTAAAGGAAAAACAAACAATACATTAGCCATTCCATCCATACGTTCTTTGGATTGCATGATGCAGGCCACGGAACGGCACCACAAAGACTCTGAACAGCTGCAAATAAATACCAAATAGCTGGCGAGCGGAAAAGAGACTGAGAAATGAAGACAGGGGTCCCGATCCCAGCTTTGTCACCAGCTCCTCCTTCCTTTACCTGCCAAGGGGAGATAAGAAACGGGCCTCAGACGTTCCTACCAACACTAAAATCAATCCTGAGTGAAGTTGTTTTGGATTCCTACAAGAACGCCGTAGGTGTAAGACTTCCTGGTTATTAATAAATGTACTTCTTTTAAGTTTTTTTTTTTTTTTTATTTGAGAGAGAGAGAATGAGAGACAGAGAGCACGAGAGGGAGGAGGGTCAGAGGGAGAAGCAGACCCCCTGCTGAGCAGGGAGCCCGATGTGGGACTCGATCTCGGGACTCCAGGATCATGACCTGAGCCGAAGGCAGCTGCTTAACCAACTGAGCCACCCAGGCGCCCAATAAATGTACTTCTTCAAAGGAAATACACTTCTATGAATGATGACAGCACTGCTACCTTTGAGGTCAACCAATTTCATACCTCTCCACAATGATGGCAGAACTGCTGAACTTCTCTTGGTCAAGACACTGGGTTCTAACAATAATTAACAACAGGATTTAATTAAAATTTAACGAGTGCCTAAACTGCGCAAAAAGGGGTGCTAGTTGTTCAGGGCATAATTAACAAGTTTAAAGAAGATTCTATGCATCAGAATGCATTTGCTCAATTTTTGCTGTTGTTGAGATGTAACTGACAGATAAATTTGCTCAAATCTTGATGTGGAGATGCTTGTGTTACTTGTGGGTTGTCTGGGCAACCTCACCTGGAGTAAAAGGCCCTTCCAGGGAGAGACCTGTTTCTGCCTTCTTGTGAACGCTGCACGGAACAGTGATCCTCCAACTAGGGCTGGAAGACAGTTGTTCGTGCCTGCTTTCGAGAATCTCTCTGAGGCGGGATAGGGAGGTGGTCTGGGGGCTGAGCACATGAAGCTGGGATCTGCATATTTTGCAAGTCTCCTGGGTAATTTGGGACTACACTCAGGCTAGAGCCATACCCACTCCACTGAGTCAGAACTGCTGAGTCCATACAGTAGATGATAATTTTCTTACATAAAATTGAGGGGATTTGTCCTGATGGGAACTAACGGTTCTTCCATCCCAATATCCTGGGAGCCTGTGTTTTATTGTCATTTTTAACCAATGAAATATGTTACAACAAAATGGAACTTCAGTACCAAAGTCATTGCTAAAGTCCAACTGGTGGGCAACAGGCCATTATCACTAGAAACCAGTTACACAGCTGATATCACTGGCAACATCTAAACATTACTTTTTATTACAAAAAATAGTATGTTCTTTATAGAAAAAAAATCTAAAAATATAAACATGAAAAAAGGTGAAAAAATAAAAAATCCAAAAAAAATCTCTGCATGGAACTGCCAAAGAACTGCTATTTATAAGATTTTGGTATATAACCCTTCCAACCTCTGTCTAGAAACGTTTTTACAAACATAGAAGCATCTCTTTACCAAACAAAATAGGATCATGTCATCCGTGATTTTACATTTTTTAATATATTTTTTAAATAAAAAACAAATCATAAGTAGCTTTTAGCCAACAACTGTACATACTATATCATCATTTTTAAGGGCTGCACAGGATTTCGTGGTATGAATGTGACATCATCTAATCTTACCAATTTTTTATTGGTGGACATTGTTCCTAATGTTTTATTACAAGTAATTTTGCAACTCTGCTTATGTCCTCTGGAGCGCTTACTAGCAAGGAGAGTGCAAGGTCAGAAGGAATGATCACTACACCACCTGACCGCGGGAGCATGGAACTCATTCGTGGCCACCCCCCTGCATCATCTCTCTCGCTGTCCACCAACACCTAACACAGCACTCATCATAACCGCTACAAATACTGATGCTTAGGAGCAAACAGGCTACCTCTTGTCACGCCAGGTATGATCATACCACAGGGTCTTTGCTCCTGTTGTTCCTCTGCTTGGACTGCTCTTATGCGGATGGTCACGTTGCTCATTCTCCCACTTCTTTCAGAAGCTGACTCAAGTGTTATCATTTCAGTGGCCCTCCTTGACCATCCTCTATGGAATAGGACCCCTCTCATTTTCTTTCCTCCTTGCTGTGCTTTGTTCTTTTCTTCTCTGCACTTACCACCACCTGACCTATTTTACAGTTGTTTATTCTTTTTTTTTAAAAGATTTTATTTATTTATTTGAGAGAGAGAGAATGAGAGAGAGCACAAGAGGGAAGAGGGTCAGAGGGAGAAGCAGACTCCCCGCCGAGCAGGGAGCCCGATGTGGGACTCCATCCCGGGACTCCAGGATCATGACCTGAGCCAAAGGCAGTCGCTTAACCGACTGAGCCACGCAGGCGCCCTATAGTTGTTTATTCTTCACTTCTCTCTGTTTGAATAGGGATGAGAACAAGAACTTTGACTTTCTTATTCTGTGCTGTGTTCCTAGAAGAGTACTTGGCATACAGTAGGTGCTCAATAAGCATCAACCAAATCATTTTAAAAGGCTGAGGAGTCTGAAGAAATAATTCACAAGAAGAAAAACTCCAAATACACAAAGATGGCCATTGAGGGGTTCATCCTCAGAGCAAAACAGGGAAAATACCCTCAATTCTCAACAGAAGGTTGATGAACCTTGGTGTGTTAACCTGGTGAAAATCTGTAAAGCCATTATAATCAATAATTATGAAGACTTAACAACAAATGGGGGCATTTATTTTTAAATTTATATTTATTAATTTTTTAAAGGGGGGAGGGGCTGATGGAGAAGGAGAGAGAGAGAATCTTAAGCAGGCTCCATGAGGGGCTTGATCTCACGATCCTGAGATCATGACCCAAGCCAAAACCAAGAGTCCGACACTTAACCAACTGAGCCACCCAGGCGCCCCTATAATACATTTAGTAGTAAAAAGGAAAACAGAGGCTATCACAAACCATGACCACAACAAGTATCTAAATTCAAGGATAAGGAACAAACAGATAAAAAGAGGTGGAAATAAAGAAAACAGAAGTTGTGATATGTAAAAATCTTATTTAAATAACTCCGTTATGCTGGAACACTTGAATAAATAAGAATCGATGTTTTAAAAAACTGAAGACCACAATGTATTTTACCCACATGAATTTCTTAGTAGTTAAGTGTGCACACAAATCTGCACCACGTTAAATACTTCACTTTACCAGAAAAACTAGGTCAACTTCAGGCATGAAGAACCCAGGCAGGCCAAGAATGCAGCCCCTCCTTCCTGTCCCCACCAAATCCTCCTGTAGTTTAATAGATATGCTTGCAGAACTGCCTTCACTTTAGAATCATACTAACACCCTAAATTAAAACAGATTAAAAAAAGCACCGAATCAGAAACGGTGAGAAGTGTTTTGGAGGTAGGAGCACTGATAGCCACAGACAAATCAGCCCATGCTAATACAGAAAACCAGAGTACTGGGAACAAGGAAAACATAACCTCTACAAAATGATTTTGTTTAGTGTGTCCTTTAGATAACAAACGAGCGTGTAATATACTGTTTGAAGATTTTTTCAGAATGTTCAATAAAATGTATTAGTACTTAAAGAATCTTCAGCTACCAAAATATCCTCTTATGCAGAACGTCTTATGCTTTTCCCATGACCCCCAACAATCAAGATATTGCTATAGCCTTATCTTTTTTATTTTTTAAACATCATATGGCTTATTCATATAATACTATTCAGCGATAAAAAACAACAAACTGCAACAAATGTACAACTACAGATGATTTTCAAAAGCATGATGAGTGAAAGAAGAGGTACACGAAAAATATAAATGTATGATTCCACTTATGTGGTTTTAGAAAAGACACCAGATACACAGCGGGGAAAAAATCAGGACAGTATTGCCTCTGGCAGGTGAGTTATAATGGAAAGGCACAAGAGGAAACTTCAGGGGGTTATAGTAATGCTTTCTGTCTTGACAACAGTTTGATATACACAGCTCTATGCACTTGCCAATGCATAAACAGAATGGTATACTTCACCTTAAAAATGAAAAATATGAGAAAAAATAAACCATTTAAGTCTAACTGTATGCAGACTGAGGTATTTAGGGAGTATACTAAATGTCTGCCACTTACTGTTAAATGCTGCTGGATATAAGATAGATTATGAATAGACAGAAGGAAGAATAGAGGAACAGATATGTGATAAAGCCTAATAGTAAAACGTAAACTAAAGAATCTAGGGCTACACACCTGTCTTATCTTTTCATAGTTGGTGCTTGAAAAGGTACCTTCCCTTAGGGATGCACGTTATAGGCCAGGAGATACTCCCCTCAATTCCCCACCTGTCACAGACACTCCCTTACATACTATAAAGTGCTTTCAAACAGGACCCGCTGACCTTCCCCTCCTTTCAAGCTGTTTATGGGGGGGGCTGCCACCCTACATACCCCCATCAGAACAAGGGCCTCTGCTTTAGCTTCCTCCGTTTGAGGAAGATGAAGGTTCATCTCATCGCCATCGAAATCCGCATTGTAGGGTGTACAGACACACTCGTTAAATCTGAAGGTCCGGTGCGGCTTGACCTTGGCCTGTGGAATACACACACACACACAAACACACACAAAACAAAACGGAAGAGGGACTTAGTCATTTATCCAAAAACTTCATGGTTTCAAAACATTAATAAATGGTTTCCTGGAGAACTGGATACTTTAGATGATTAAGAAAATAAATTTCTAGTATGTTCTGGTAACATGTCACTTGTGGACTTATTCAAGTAGCTTTATTAGGTCAAAACAATACAATGAGTTTAACACAAGGCAAATACCAACCTAAGAGCCACAAGAAAGGGCTCCCCTGGCCAATGATGTCATAGTTTGATATCAAACAGATTCACGGCAGAAACTGATTAAAAAACACACCGACTAAATAAAAACCCATGAGTTTATAATGACACTGAAAAAAAGGAAAGCAAAACCACACAAAAAACCCAAACCAACCTAGTTGGAAGAAATTGAACACCAAATTTCTCCTCCCCAAACTGATAAAAAAGGAAAAAGAATCAGGCATTTATGCTGCCTTTCTTTCAGGAATTATATTTTTGGGTAAGTAAATAACCCTAGTTAGTAAGACAAAATTCTTCATTATACAAATGGTGGGTATGAAATGTGAAAGGAATGATAGATTAGAAAATCTCCATTTTGTAGCCCCCATGAAATAATGTTGGCAATAATCATAAATGGAGGAAACCTTGAGAAAACTTTCAAGGGAGGCACCAGGCTCAAGTATCTGATGCCCTAACCTCAGCATAACTAAGAGTGGGGCAGCCAGACAACACATGCCTTCTGAAATAAGGTAAGAGGAAGTAGCCAGCACCACCTAGGAGTTACTCTTGCCAGAAGCTGAACATGAATCTGACCCTGCCTTGAGAGCTACTGTCCAGTTTATAGGAATAAAAGGAAGAATGAAGAAACTCTTAATGCCATGCGTATACATACAGAGAACACGGGACATTTCTTCAGGACAAATGACTTGGCTTTTTCAGCAACAGTGAAATTAAAAGGTGGGGGGCACCTGGGTGGCTCAGTCGTTAAGCGTCTGCCTTCCACTCAGGTCATGATCCCAGGGTCCTGGGATCGAGCCCCGCATCGGGCTCCCTGCTCCGCAGGAGGCCTGCTTCTCCCTCTCCCACTCCCCCTGCTTGTGTTCCCTCTCATTCTTGTCTCTCTCTCTGTCAAATAAATAAAGAAAAAGAAAAAGAAATAAAAAGGGGGGAGAGTTGTTCTAGACCAAGAGAGACTGAAGACATGTTATCAACCAAATGTCATGTGCAGACTTTACATCTAGATTTGGACAAACTAGCTGCGAAAAGATTGTTGAGATGCTTGGGGAAATGTGAACATGGACTGGGTGCTGGACAATACCAAGGAGTGAGTGTTCATTTTGTGTAATGTGGTATGGCACTGTGGTTATGTGTGTCTTACAGAAGTAAACTGAATACACATGGAGAAAAGACATGGCATCTGGGGCCATCAAAGGAAAAAGGGAGAGAAAACAGGAGTGGCAAAATCTTGAAAATTATTAAAAACAGAGAATGAGAATATAGGAGTTCTTCATAGGATTCTTTCTACTTTTGTATATATTTGAAATTTTTCAAACAAAAACATTTTTATTTTGAGAATGCCCCAAAGCCAAGCAAAAGCTTCTGAAAAAGGAAGGCTTTTGTTCACCTCCCTAGATCCCCATAATCGTAACCCTCATAATCCTAAACTGTTTCTTTGATATTTCCAGACTTAAGTAAAAAGACTGAGGAAACATGTTGTGGAGTGAAAAACTAAATCTAGAAAGACATTACCTGAAGAGCCTGTTTAAACACTGTTTGCAAATGCTCATGGATTTAAAGGCTTTGGAGAAGGAGAATTTATGAATATTGAGTGAATTAAAGTTGCATCTAATTTCCACTTTAAATCTCCAGAAAAAGGAACTGCTGCTGTTGCAAAACTAAATCACCGAAGAAAATATGCTTGAAGGTCTTCGTTGGAGGGCCACTGTGACGAAAAATCTCCGAAGCATTTTAGTTCCATAGTTAATATGCTAAGTGAAACCCGAAATTGCCTTTCTGCCCTATCTATTTTAGGTAAGTCTGTGCACTCACATAGATGTATATATTTTGTTTGCAACTGGAATCATGTGCCAGTCACTTTCACGCTAATTTCCAATTAGTTCCTTTCTGTTTCACTGTTGTGTGGATTTTATCAATACGAAAAACACTGAAGGGAAGCTTGAAATGTAAAATTTCACTCAAACTAAAAAGTGAGAGTAGAGAAAAATCAGAAGTCACAAAAATTTGAGATTACTGGCAATCGAATTTTAGGGGTCCGGAATTTTGCATCGCACACCCAGCCAATTCCCACCCAACAGAAGCTAAGAACACAAACGTCATGCTCACCAGATGTGCCATAATGCTCAGTTTGTGCAGCGATGGCTGCCGGTTGAACAGCACCACATCTCCGTCTATGAGGTGTCTCTCCACGATGTCCCCGTACTTGAGCTCCTGGGCCATCTTTTCCCTATTTCCGTACTTCAAAAACCTAAGTGTACGGTAAGAAACGTGATCTATGAGAGTAAAGCCTCCTCACCAAGTTGCTCCCTCTTCACATCAGGAGTCAGTCTCAAAAATGATCACACTGCCCTGAATCGAAGGTGCCTGCCTCCACAAGCCTGTCAGTTAAACTATGACACACTGTCAGTGGATCTTCATTTCATAAATGTTAAAATATGAAAAGAGTTATGTCTTAGAATCACAGAAATGCAGTAATAAGTCAGCTTCTCCCACAGCACCCTGCTGATAGTTTTTATCTTATGTTTATCTCAGGAGATCAAAAGGCACCAGTGATTAGTGGAAAGCCTGAGCGGGCAAAACAAGGCTGTAAGTACAATAAATAACCAACCCCACAGAGCCCCTGTGACACAGAACCGGCTTTCCTAACTCCACGTGTTCTGTCTACCCAGATGCAACAATATATGCTAGGAAACAAATGGACATTTTGTGTATATTAGATGCAAAAACACAGCAAATGATGAACCCTGTGCTCACTGAAATTTAAACAGTATTTTTCACATGCTAAAATGTCACAAACGTATTTTGGACTGTATTCTGTGGCTGAGTATGGTGACCTTGGGCATGAGAACGTTGTTACATATGGCTAGATCGGGCCAGCATTACCTTTTCATCTGTGTGTGTCTTTGCTGAATGAAATTGGCTCCTGGGTGAACTTCAGGGCCATTTCGAACCAGTTTCCTCAGAAAATTGATGTTTGCTTTGTTCACCTGCACAACCACAAAAAAAGACACAAGGAGTTACCATCAGGTTTCTGTAAGCTAGCACATTATACTGAGTTGCGTCTCAACCTTTACTTTCCTTGGGTGATTCCAGGAGAAAGAAAGGCAGCATCCTGCTGCCTTGGGTCTTGGGTTTAATGACAACAGCGGACTGGCACAGGAGCCCAGGTTCCAATCTGAACTCACCACTGGCAGGGTGAAATAGCCAGGTCCTTTACTGGCCTTTGGTTTCCCTATTAGTAAAATGAGTGGGCTGGACTGAGCTGTAGGGACCTTCTGGCACATCCTGTGATCCTAAAAACAGTTGGCAACCTCACTAGCAATGATTTACCATGGGCTCCTGAGGTTTAAAAACTGTGACTCCAGCACCACTAGGCCGTGCTCTGCATTGTCATGTCCTGCAACCTCTCAGACAATGGTTTTGTGGAACCCCATCTCAGAGAAGGAAACTCTGAATCAGATACATAAAATATCTAAGGCTACTTTACACAAGCTTTACAAAACCTTCATGATCCAGGCTGATTATGAATCTTAAAAGCAAAGCCAAAGCCCATATCCTCCTATTATCAGGACTTACAGTTTTCTATACCTCAGTTACTATAAATTCCATTTTACACTCATGATGAGTGTGAGTTTAGTGTAAAGCGGTGCAGCCTTTCTGGCTATGCATCAATAGCCTTAAAATATTCAAAGTATTTGACTCAGTGATTATTAAGTCTTAAAAATAATAATCCATCCCAAGGAAATTAATTGGGTGTGGTGCTTATCCTTTAGTTACTTTAAAAACATGAGGTAGGGGCGCCTGGGTGGCTCAGTTGGGTAAGCGTCTGCCTTCGGCTCAGGTCATGATCCCAGGGTCTTGGGATCGAGTCCTGCGTCGGGCTCCCTACTCAGCCGGGAGCCTGCTTCTCCCTCTGCCTGCCGCTCCCCTGTTGTGCTCCCTCTCCCTCTCAAATAAATAAATAAAATCTTTAAAAAAACATGAGGTAAGATGGAACTAAGAGGCCAAAGACCATACTACTTGGAAAAACAAGTTGCAGCAGATTATGTCTAATGTGTCTCTGAGTGTACACAGCCAGACACATCTGTGGTTGTACTGTTGCAAATGTTGTATGCGGCGGTAGACGTATGAAACCGGAAGATAACACACATACCAAACTGTGGGTTGTGTGTGTTACCTGGGGTTTTCCAACTGTCTATTGCTTGGAATCTCAAAATAAAAGACAAACACAGAATTGAGTGGCTGAATGGAACTTACCTTCTCAGGAAAAGTAAGAATTTTGGCCACGTGAACTGGCACAGCTACCTCATCAATCCTGAGATTGGGGTCAGGTGAGATGACTGTTCTGCCAGAAAAATCCACTCTCTTTCCTGAGAGATTGCCTCTAAATCGACCTAAGTCAATAAAAACATGTCATAGGTCTCCATGGAACAAACGTGTGCTGTTTTGGAATAGTATGACCACAGAGAACTAGGAAAGTTTGTGATTTCCAATTAGATAAGCTGGACATACGCTCCAGAAAAAGGTAACAAAGGCAGTAGACTGTCTCCTGCACATTTTGTTGGAAACATACCCTGTTTTCCCTTTAGGCGCTGGACGAAACCTCTGGTCCATTTCTTGGGCGCCATGTTGAGGGGAATGCCTGAGAGCTCGCTGTTAATGTAGAGGGCACACTGCAGTTGCAGGAAATCCCAGTCTTCCATGATCATCTGGGTCTTTGCTCCTGATATCCGATGCTAAAAATGAGCAGAGAACGAGAAAACATGATCCTGGGTCAATCTGACTTTCTTGATGAGAAGTGTTTGCGATAGATACGCTCCTAAACCTAGCGCTTGGAAGTACTGACCTTTTTTTTTTTAATTTTTTTTAATTATGTTAATCACCATACATCATTAGTTTTTGATGTAGTGTTCCATGACCCATTGTTTGCATATAACACCCAGTGCTCCAAGCAGAACGTTGTACTGACCTTTTTAATGACGTCATTTAGGAAAATGATTTCTGTCAATTTCATCGTCAGATCATCTTCATTGGTGCCAGACTTCAAATCGCTCACGACAGAGGGTCTGATACACAAAGGGGGCACTAAAAGTCGTGTGAGAATCAAATCAGAGGGCTTTCCAGCTTCTGGGTTCATTAGAAGTAGAGGGACATCTTCAGCTGGGATTCGTTTGAATAAATTCAGAACTACTAAGGGATTCAAGTTTTCCTATGGAGAGGAGGAGAAAAGAATGGAGAGACATGTTAACTTTCCACAGTTTGGGCAAGGGTTTACTTCTCCATGCTTTCTACCCCATTCACCACTTAACTCAGAGTTAACTATACGCGCTCACAGAAATTTCTGTTGGTAACATGCTATGGTGGCAGAGCCCTAAACACATACATGCCTTTTATTCCAATTATTTAAACCAGTAATTCCACTTCTAATTATTCCAAAGGGAATGACTTTAGAAATCAATGCAAAGATTCAGCTACAGGAATGTTCCCTAAAGCTGTTAACAGTGAAGAGTTGGAAATAGCCTGATAGGTTGCTGGCTAGATAAAATCATAGTATATCCATACATAAGCAACCACGAAGCCATAAAAAAAAGACACTACAGAAATGTAGCTACTGCCATGAAAGCTGTTCGTAAAATATTGGTAAATGAAAGAAGCGTGTGTACGATATGATCTCATTTCGGGGGAAAATGTACATCTGTACAGAAAAGAGGAAATGGATGTTTAGCAAGGTGTTAATAGTATTGTCTGCAGGTGAGTGCAATTATAATCTTTTCGCTTCTTTGTTTACATTTAAATTTTCTGCAGTGGGGCGCTGGGGTGGCTCAGTCAGTTAAGCGTCTGCCTTTGGCTCAGGTCATGATTCCAGGCTCCTGGGATTGAGTCCTGCATCAGGCTCCCTGCTAAACTAACCTAAATCGACCCTGCTCAGCAGGGAGCTGCTTCTCCCTCTCCCTCCCGTTCCCCCTGCTTGTGTGCTCTCTGTCAAATAAATAAAATCTTGAAAAAAAAAAGCATTAAAAAATATCCTGCAGTAAACTTATATCGCCTTCGTATCTTTTTGAAAATTTTATTTGAGAGAGAGACAGAGAGAGAGAGAAAGAGAGAACACGAGCAGGGTGAGGGGCAGAGGGAGAAGCAGACTCCCCGCTGAGCAGGGAGCCCGATACGGGACTTGATCCGGGGACTCCAGGATCATGACCCGAGCCGAAGGCAGACGACCAACCGACTGAGCCACCCAGGCACCCGCCTTCCTATTTTTTTTTTTAAAGATTTTATTTTTCATTTATTTGAGAGAGAGTGAGAGCATGAGCGGCGGGAGGGGAGAGGGAGAAGAAGACTCCCCGCCGAGCAGGGAGCCGGAAGAGGGGCTCACTTCCAGGACCCTGGGAACATACCGAGTTGAAGGCAGACACTTAACCGACTGAACCACCCAGGTGCCCTATATTGCCTTTGTATCAACTTCATTTTATAGAAGTGCTATGCTATAACAACTTCCTCATAAGAACTACACGCATGATCAGAGATACTCAAAGATCAAAGGTAAGAATGGTCAGCTTGTGTCTTGTTGCTGAAAATTACATTTTCTTGGGATTAAAGACTGTGTGACAAAGAATACGTGTTACAAGCAGAACTTGCTGTGCGTAACTTAATGAGACAGGGAACAAAGTTAAGAAGAAATGTTTGAAAATCCACTGCCCTTAGGACACTGTCACAAGAGAATGTTTCTGTGGGCCCGCCCTGGAGAAGGCAGCAGACTTGGGGAGAAAGAAGGAATCCTGCCTGAAGTTTTGCAGTCCGGGTCCCCGCCCGCAGAATTCCCTTCCTCAGCTTCCCTGCCTCCCAGCAACGAGCAGCTCACAGCCACCTGAGACAGTGGGAGGAAATCTAACTAAGAGTTCTAGGAACAAGATGAAGGCCAGACATCCCTTGCAGTACCAGGGTCAGTGCTAGACAAGAACATCACAGAACTGAAGGTTGTTGCAGGAGGGCAGGAGGACTGACAAGAGTCTGGAGACCAGTTCTTGGCCAGAGCCGTTACTCCAGAATGACATAGCACTTGCCTCCCAAAGGGCACAGGGAAGAGAGCCCTAATTTATTGTTATGTACTAGGAAATGGAAGTCAGGGACCGCTGGAGAGACGGAAAGAAGGGCTGTTGGGTCCAAGGCACAATATCCAAACAGCCAGGGCTCCCTGGTGGAGCGTGGACCACCATAGGCGGCACAGAGAAGCTTGGCCTGCCGCTCAATCTGCTGGGGATGCTGTGGAAGGCATCTCTACCTGGTGGGGAGGCAATACCGATGCTATCTATGGAAAGACTCTTTTTTTCCCTTTTTTTTTTTAAAGCAGGCTCCACCCCCAGTGTGGAGCCCAATGCAGGGCTTGAACTCAAGACTCTGAGATCAAGACCTGAGCTGAGATCAAGAGTCGGACACCCAACCAACTGAGCCACCCAGGCGCCCCTCTATGGAGAGACTCCAGGCCAAGAAAGGCCTGTCTTTACCATAACTGTCATTACTTATTTTCTTTATAATTTTGATGTAAATTAAATCATACAGTTGCACTAGAAAAGTTTGTTTTCATTTATTAATTTTTAAAGGTTTATTTATTTTTAAGTAATCTCTACACCCAACATGGGGCTCGAGCTCACAACCCCAAGATCAAGAGTCCCACACTCTTCTGACTAAGCCAGCCAGGCATTCCTGTCATTATTAAAGTTTTTTTTTTTTTTTTTTTTAAGAGAGGGAAAGAGAGAGAATCTTAAGCAGGCCCCAAGCCCAGCGTAGAGCCTGACACAGGGCTTGATCTCACAACCCTGACATCATGACCCGAGCCAAAATCAAGAGTCAGACGTTTAACTGACTGAGCCACCCAGGCACCCCCATCCTGTCATTATTATCATGTTAATGTCAGTAGCAGTGCTAGCTTCAGCAACTGGGTAATATGCTCTAAGCACTTGCTCTGCACCAGGCACTGTGCTCAGCACTTTACCTGGAATTCATCTCTTAATCCTTACAATAGCCTTAAAGCAGATACTCCTGTAAGCCCTGTTGATAGCTGAGGAAACTCAAGTCCAGGTTGGGTCACGTGTCTAAAGTCATAGAACAAATAAGCAGCAGAAATGGGCTCTAATCTCCCATCCGACCCCAAAGTCAAAGCTCCTTACTACCCTAAACCACCTCTAGGGTGTCAATCTGGGCAGAGGGGGGTGGGGTACACAGGGTGGTGGTGGCAGTGGGGGAACGAACTGGGGGCCAAGCTGGATGCTCTAGACTAGTGACTTAAATGGGAGGGGGTTACCTCCAGAGCCGAGTCATTCAGGAGACTGCCCTAACAAGATGCCTCCCAGGCCATATGGGAGTACTGTGCTACTGTGGAGAGTGTGTGGAGCAGAGACTGTGGCTGCCAGTCCTGGGCAGGGAGCTGGCCGGGGGAAATGGTGGTGTGGTGCCAGGAAGGCTGATCCAGGAGCAGCAGAGGGTGTGCAGGGGGATGGCAAGTAAGGCTGCCCCCATGAAAGCCCGGACACCCCTCAACCTCACAGACCGAGGCCGCTCCCCATGCTTCTGACAGCTTTCTGCACAGTCGCGAGCCCGCAAAGTGCCTCTCTCACAGCTGTACAAGGGCAAGGTCATCTTCTTCAGCTCACACCCTTACTTCCTCTGCACTAGCTTCGTCCTAACTGCCTTGAAGTCACTTCTGCTTGAATCAATCGCTGCCACCATCTCCCCATTTCCAGGATCTCTTTCATTTTCCAGAGGTCTGTGCACATGCTCACTCCCCTCTGACGGCTCCCTCTCTCACACATCTCCCTGGTGGTTGGTCAGCAACTCCTGCCATTCTTACCGCGTGCAGTGACTCTGGTCTCTGGCTCCTTTATTGCCACCTAGGCTCAGGGTCTGTTTTCCTTGTAACCCACCCCCCCATCATGGCAGAACTTACATGTATTAAATTGTACAAATCCTAAAGAGATTGATACATTTTTACACATATACACCACACACACTAGTGTTCAGATCAAGATACAGAATATTTTCATCTCTCCATAAAAGGATCCTGATACCTTTTTTCAGTCAGTACCAAGCCCTCACCCCAGAGGTAACTGCTCTCCTGACATCTGTCACCAAAGATCAGTTGGGCCTGTTCTTGGACTTATCTACATGGAATTATACGCTATGTACCCTCCTGTACAGAGTTCCTTGTTCTCAGCAGGATTCTGACATTTGGCCAGGTTGTGTGTGTCAAGAGTTCACTTTTCATGCAGGATAGTATTCCATCGTGTGGATCTGTGACAATTTTGTTTATTCTCCTGTTCACAATCATCTGGACTGTTTCCAATTGTCGTTTTTATTAATAAAGTTGCGACAAACGTTCTTGTACAAATATTTCTGTGGACACAGGCACTCATTTCTCTTGGGTGTACTGAAGAGTAAACCTGCTAGGCCGTATGGTGAGCACAGATGTCACTTTATAAGAAATCGTCAAACAATTGTTCAGAGTGATAATCTTCCACAATGCCACTGTCAACATATGAGTGCCAGTCGCTTCACAACCTTGCCAGCACACGGTTTTCAGTTTTTTTACATTTTAATTTTTCTAGGGGTGTGTGTAGTTTTAAATAGCATTTTCCTGATGACTAATAACACTGAGCAATTTTTCACTTATTTATTAGCCATTTGAATATATCCTTTTGTGAAGTGCTAATTCAAGTTTTGCTCCCACTGCTTAAAATCAGGTTCATGTTTTTCTCACTGATTTTGAAGGACTGTTTCCTTCTGGATATGAGAGTCCTTTGTCAGATACACGAATGTTGTCTGCCTTCTCCCAGCCCATGGCCTGTCTTTTCACTCTGGTAATGGGGTCTCTAGGAGAGCAGTCAGGCTCTTCTGCAATTTCGTCATTTATTCACCATGAACTTTCCTGCTCAACACCTTCCCTGGCTCCACACTCTCCAGAGCAGGCTGCACTCTACACTGAGCTCTCACTTGTCTGGTCTCCAACACTCTAGTTCCCTTGGTTACAGTCTTCTGGATCATCTCAGGCAAGGCTGTCTCAAGCGCTACTGAAGATTACACAGGAGGCAATTCATGTGAAAGCTTGGACAGTGCCCGTCCCTAACAGCAGTTGCTGAAGGCAGGGTGCTTTTATTAGCACTCACTGGTCTTACAGAGCCTCAGCTTCAGAATCAGCCTAAACACTGTCACCTGGACATGCTGAGCTCACTGCCCTTGACTCTGTAAACCTGACTCACCCAGATCCCACCACATCTTTCCTCAGTCTTCCCTAACCAAGTCCAAAGTGACATCTTCCTCCCGATATCCCACTGAGCTTCCTATCTCTGCCACTCGTGTGATGATCAACACCCTGCCCTGGGATATCAGTTATCTTTTCACAGACTAATTGCTTGTGACACATCTAAACTGTGGGACCTGTGACAGCAGACCCACCGTCTTGCAGTTCCTGACGCTCCCCATAAGTCTGATAGAACTTGGTACTCAGGAACCATTCAACTCATTTGTTAGTCTCGTATACTACCAATTCTAGACTGTACTGTGGGAATTAAATACTAATCAAAATCAGAGCAAGGCAGAACAGGGTACCTCATAAAATCCTACTAGTTAAGTCTGTGCCAAGTAACGGGAGTTACCTACAATTTCTTAGATCTCAGTACCCACGTGAGAAACGGCATCTCTCAGTTTATGACCTATATAGCCACAATCTCTTACGATAAAACATGTTACCTGTACGATTAAAAATGCGTTAGTTATAAGGACAGTCCACGCTAAACATAGTGTAACGTAAGCACTTGTCATGAAGTATTCCTAGAGATCTAACTTAATCAGACTTCTCATCTTGAAAGAGGTGTCTGTCAGAGAGAGGGAGGGGGTGAGAATGGGTGTGTGTGATGCAGGGGGAGGCAGGGAGAGGGCAGACATGTGTTTTCAGACTCACCTGTGCCCTTCCCAGCAGTGGTTCTACTTCTTTGTTATGCTCGATGGCTGTTTCAAAAGACTGAAGGAAATTTGATACGATAGGATCCACCACTTTTTTGTTGGTCTTGTACTTCTCATGAATTATCTTCAGTAATCCACATTTCTTTACGGTACCTGTTAGGAGTGAATTTATTTACCAAGATCGGACTAATGAGGTACTTGGGTCAGGCTGTTCTGAGATTGTAGTGTGGTTAATGAGATCGCTGAAAATGCATTTGCCAACAGGGCATCAGTTGCTAGGCTCTAAAGCCTCATTTGCAAGAAAAAAACCTGACTTCCCAACACTGCATGAAACTAATAAGCTAAATGGACCAAACTGAACGCAAAGGGCTTTACTAAGCCTTTTACGCGTCCTGCTCACCATTAAAAGCACCACAGTAATGGCAGATGTTCTTCTTTCGGCACTTATCAGAGATTTTCTTCTTCAGTCCACGTTTCTGGAGGTAGGTCAGGCCAGGCCTCTTCAGATAATCCAGAAACTGCTTCTTCTCCTCCTGGGACAGCATGATGTGGCAGCAGGTTTTACAGATCATCTTTTAAAAATTAGAACAGATAAAAGGATAAGAGATGAAAAAGTCTTTTAAAAATGTCACCCCTGGGCGCCTGGGTGGCTCAGACGGTTAAGCGTCTGCCTTCGGCTCAGGTCATGGTCCCAGGGTCCTGGGATCGAGTCCCGCATCAGGCTCCCTGCTCCTTGGGAGCCTGCTTCTCCCTCTGCTTCTCTCTCTCTCTCTCCCTGTCTCTCTCCCTCTGTTTCTCATGAATAAATAAATAAAATATTTAAAAAAAAGAATTTAAAAAATGTCACCCCTACCTAAAAAAAAAAAAAAAAAAGTCACTCCTACCTCTTGCCCAGGACATGGAAACTGAGCGACATGCCCAGAGATATGCACAGAGTGGTGGCTGATGTTCACCAGAATGCTAGCTGTAGTCATAGCTGGCTGGTAGGATTTTTGCTGATTTTTTAACTTTGTGCTGTTCCATACTGCTGGATTTACTGTTATTTTTCATAGCGTCTACCTACCACCTACTCAAGAAAAATCAAAGAATAAAGAATCTTTACACAGTTTAACTTACTGTAAGATGCAATATTACGTGTGTAATGTAAAAATTCTCCCTAGATGTATCCCTGTCCACTCCCAATTCCTAAGCTCCCTCCGATGTCCCTGAGCAGTAATTCCTAAGTTTATGCCTTGAAAACGAACACGTCTGCGCCCACCTGTAAGATGCCGATAACTGCTCTGAAGTAGCCCACGTGAAAGCATGGCAACTCCAAGTCAATGTAGCCATAGTGGCCCAGACAGTCAGCCAAGTTTTTCCCACAGGTTTCACAAGGACGGTCCTTCTCACTTGTACCCTTTGGATAAAAGCACACCCAATTATTAATGGAGACCTCTGGACGGGAAAGTGGGACCAGGTGACTCTGAGTCAGAATCACCTGGGAAGGTGCAGAGTATTCACAGCCCATTGACCAAAGGCTGGAGTCCCTGAGATGGTGCAGGAGGGAGATGGAAAGAAGCTCTTGCTTCTTCCAACCTGGCAAGTCATCAGTTTCATGAGCATGTCAGGACACACGACCTGGGAGGAGTGGGGACTTACCATCCTGTGGTCAAGCACACCATACAGCAAGGGAGCATGGTGGTTGTCCTGGCTGTACAGGTTCTTACTCACAACCTGGATGTGGGCCTGCTGGCGCATCTCCTCAGGGGACTTCATTCCAAAACAGATGTGGCTTCTGGAATAAAAAGAAACGGGAGCTGGGCTGCCTGGCTCGCTCCATCAGGAGAGCATATGACTCTTGATTTTGGGGTTATGAGTTCAAACCCCACGTTGGGCATAGAGCTTACTTAATTAAAAATAACAACAACAACAACAACAAACGGGACCAATTATGTCAAAACCACTTATCAAAAATGGTGATTGCACAGTGACCCATCATAACCAACCTTACTCTTCTAACTGTTTACAGGCTCTGCTCCATTATTAAATATACTCAAGTCTCTCCCATTTTTCCTTGGTAAACACCCCTTCATCCCCCTGAAATCATTTCCATTCTTAATATCAAATGAATGGTGTTCACCAAGGTCACCGAACCCACCTGCTTGCTAAATCCTGGTAAGAATGTGCTCATCTTACAGCTCTGCAGTGCTGGATGTTAACTCCGCCTTCCCCCTTATCCTGAAATATTTTCCTCTTACAGCCTTGGGGACACCACATACTCTCTGTGTGTCCCCGCCCCGTGCCATCTGTTCCTTCTTTTGTGATTGCTTCTTCTACGCCATCCCTTAAATATTCTGATCTCTCCTCACCTAGGGATCTGACCCTCAACCCCTTCTTTTTGTTCTAGACGTCCCTCCTGAGTGATTGTGTAACTCAGGTATATGTTAATGTCCATGTAATCTCCATCTTTAGGCCAACTACTGCTACTCAGTGGGAGGCCATCTGAACACCTGTTCTGTGCAACTGCACAGGCACCTCAAACTCAACACATCTAAAACAGAACCCGACACTTTCGTCCCCAAATCTGCTCCTTCAATCATCTGACCAGCAAACTGGGGACTTACTGTGTGCCAGGCACCATCTTGAGGAGCTGTGGATACAGATTAGATGAGACAGACAAGGTCCCGGCCAACATGGAACTCACAGTTCAGGGTGGGCAAGACAGACAATAAGCAAATACAAACACAAAAGTGAATAGATGCAGAGAATGAAAATGAGACGAAGTGGTAGAGAGTCTGAGGAAACTACGTTGTGGGGTCAGAAAGGCCCTGTGTAAAACTGACACTGAAGCTGAATTCTGAATAAGAGGGAGCCAGCTTTAAGATGGGACGGAGATGTGGCATTTGAAATAGAGAATCATTAAGGGCAAAGGGTCCCAGACTCAGCACAAGCTTGGCATTCGACAACCAAACTAACCAAGCCAGCATAATAGAGTGCATAAAGCTAGTGGTACAGGATGAAGTCAGTGCGGTGTATGGGGTCAGGTCATGCTGGGCTTGGGAACACTGGTATAGAATTTACACGTTAGTGCCACAGAAAGCGGCTGGAAGGTTTTAAACTGAAGAGTCAGAAATCTAATTTGCATCTTCACAGGCTCTCTTGGGCCGCTTTGTGAGAACAGATTACATCTGAATATGGGTGGGGTTTGGGGTGGGCATGAGGGGCCGGGGTGAATATGGAGAGATCACCTGCAAGGATTCCCTCCAAGTTAAGACTTGTTCCCCATTAATGCAAACAACTGCCCAGGCAAGAAATTCTGTGTGTCAATCTCATTTCTCCCTTCTCTCATTCCTACTACTCCTGTCAATTTTACACCCTAAACCCCTCTGAAATCCATCTCTCCAATGACACTACCACAGGACATCATCATCCCCTGCCTGGACCCCTGCAGTGGCATCCAATGACTCCCTCTTATTCTGTCCCCCAAGAATCAAGAGACCTTCCAGAAAAAGAGAACTCTTTTATCAAGACGCTCCCCTGCTTAAAACGCTTCAGAGGTTCCTTGGCACAGAGGTGCCAAGATAATTCTGGAACACAGCTTCAGATCTCCTGCTTTCTTCTCATCACCCCTTTTCTCCCTCCAGTATGCTCCTTAAAGGCTGTTTGGTCTGCATTCTTCTGCTTGAATCTCTTTCTCATTAGGTGTTCTGAGAATAACTATACCTACACTTGTCCTTGCACTTGCCAACACTGACTTGTCTATCTTCTCCAACTGGAAGAGGCAGTAAGGTCTTATTCGTGTCCTAGCCCTAATGCTCACGCCTGGGCCTAGCACACAACACCTTCCTCAGTTAAGCGTCTGTTACAAGAATGACTGATTCATTTTTCCCGTGTAAGCTCTAAGGGGAGACCACGGCCTGATAAATAAGCTCTGAAGGAGAAGGTCCAGAAGAGCAGCCTCATTTCTGAGACTGCTACACATCGCCCAGTGGTATAGCTTTCTAACTGGAAACTCTATCCTTTCAGTCAGCAAATACTGCCTCCGTGTTACATGCTCTGCAGCAAAACCAGAATTAGATACATTCCCCGCCCCAGATTGCTCCCCACGCTGCAGTGGCAAAAAAGATTCGCTGGAAGAGGCCATCGTATGACCTCGGGAGGACTCGTGCGTAGGTCCACGGTGCGCGCATCGCCACGGCTCACGTCACATCCCAAGCCCAGGGACCACCCCCCGCCTGCTGTCCCCCAGGTGCTGGACTGCCCTCTGCCTGACCAATTTTCTTTGACCTACCCTGATACTTCTGATCTTTGCCCACACCTTCTGCTGACTCCTGGCCCTCCCCTTCCAATGGACTCTTCGAGACCCGGGACCCCTGACCTCGCACCCCCTGCCCTTCATTTCTCCACCCTTTGGCCATTCTTGCTCCTCCTTACATTTTCTTGGCGACATCCGTCTCTCGGAACTGTTCCTTCACCATGGTGACGGCTGCGGGGTACCCTCCTCGATACTCCGGGAGCTAGACTGGAGAAACGTAGCTCGCCGTACCTCCCGAGGGTGCTTCTCACCTCGTTGCTAATACCTCGGCGGCATCCTGTCGGCCACCGTAGAGCGCCCCACGTGGTCGCTTCCTCTTCCGCTACTCGCCGGCGCGTCTGTCAGTCAAGAGAGGGCTTCGGACAGGGCGCTTTCTGCCTTCTCCCTACACTGCCATCTTGCGGCACCTCTTTGAAACTGCACCGGGGCCTGTTCTGTAATTTCAAAAGCCCTTTAGCGGTTCGGTTCTCCAGGTCATGTGACCCCTGACGAGTGATTGCAACGCTTTGCCTCAGAACATTTAGGCAACCAGAGAGACCAAAACTGCATAAAATGGAAAATCGTCATTATCAACATCAAAACCATCTTAATTAAGACGCTCTGATTTTTTTAAGTAAAGGGGGAGACTAAAATGAACCTGCCCAGGGAACAGAGGTACTAACTGGAAACCACCGAAGGAAATGAAGAGGTCAGAAACACGGCCATGCATGCAGTTTACAAAGTTACTTTAAAAAAGAAATGAAAGAAATGAATTAAACTTATATTATTGATAACAAAAACAGAAGCTATAAATCTGCGAAAAGTCAGTCATGGTGAGCAAGGGAAACAAGATGAGGGGAGAATAAGAATTGAAGATCGTTAATGTATTGAAGAAATAAACTGCTTGCCCACAGTCTGTGACAACCTGTGGGAGGTGATCCTAGTGTGACATCTCAGCACATGATACTACCAAGGACACCACACTACTGTAGAATCTAGTGCTACAGATCCTGAAACTTCTTTACTATTTGTGAGACACTCTAGACAGAACCAAACCAAGTGGTTCAACACCTTTGAGTTTTAAGAAGGGATGCTATTCAAACTCCATGCATCCTCATTAGCAAAACACAAATGTAACAGACGAAAAGCAAAGCAAATCAGCCTTTACTTATTTCAGCAGTTAATCACTTAAAATCCCTTTGGAATAATGTAGACAATACTATACTAACAAGATTGGACGAGTGGCTTTTATCATATAGAGGTTAGAAGCAAGGTTCTGGAGCCACGGTGCCTCCCTGGGTGCCACCACCTAAAGTCGTGTGACCTTGAGAATGTTATTTAGCCTCATTGTGTCTTAGTTTCCCCATCTTGTTAAGGGGGTAAGTAATCAGTACCTTACTTCTTAGAGTTAGTGGGAAGGTCAAATGGCAAAATGAGTGTGAAAGTAATTAGAATGTAACACGCACATAGCAGTCACTCAATGAATATTAACTATTGTTATTCTGAAAAGTGTAGGAAAGCTATCCTCAAAGCCTTCACCTTTGTCTCCTCTGCCACACTGACCTTTAGAAGTCCTAATGTCTCTTTTTGAACATGCACGTATGTTATTTTTGCATGACCACGTCACTTTAAACAACTAACAATTTATGGATCAAACACTGATAAAAGCTCATTTGTGAGGGGAAGGACTAAAATTTTCAGAAAAACACAAAGGAAGAATTTTTTATTTTTCATACATAAAATTACCAGAGAATCTAAAAAAAAAGCAATACTTAGCAATAAACTAAAACGGTCAGTTTTGTGTAGTTGAAATAACAAAGGTTTTGAGTCGGGTTTCTGCAGTTTCCCTCGTTATAAAATGAGGAGGCTGGTCGACAGCATCTCCTAAACTATAATTCGGTTTACCATAACTCTAAGTACGGGAAATTCAGGACAGCGAATTGAACTGAAATTGAACATGTGCTTGCGTAAATCTAGTCCGCGGGAGATCCGTGGGGGCGGGCGTTAGGCACTTTCAATCCGGCATTGGCGCGGCCGCCCTCGAGGGTCTGGCCACGCCCCCACGCCGGCGTCGCTCGGGGGCCTTCCGTGCGCATTGATATGATTGGCCGGCGGATACTGGTTCTCTTTTCTTCCCCGGCTGCTTGAAGCCTTGCCGCCATCATGGTGAGTCTCCCCAAACCCATGCAGTCATCCGGCGCGTATCTGAGCCATCCTTCGTCCTCGGGTCCTGTCGTTTGTGCTACGGCCGCCCGAAGTCCCGGCGCGCTTTTTTTGGCTGTGTCTGACGGAGGCTGGTTGCCGAGAGTCCCGGAGCTGGGGCACGCCGGGCTACAGAGGCCAGGGTCTGGGGACTGCGAGGGCGCCTGTTGGGTTTTTCGGCTTCGTGGAGCCTAGTGGATTGGGCGGGGAGGGGTGAGACCCATCTCACCTGCGTTCTCAGTTTGGGATAGATGGCTTGGAGGTGACGGCAACCCAAGAGGTGAAGTGGGTGCCGGCGGCGCCCGGGCCAGTCGTGGCGAGTGAAGCTGTTCGCATGTGTAAGCTAAAACATTGTTAGCCGTACGGAACCTCTTGTACTTTGCGGAAACCGAGGCCCTGTGAAGGGAGGCCTCCAGAAAGCTTGCCTTAAGTACATGAGTGAGCTCTAGTCAGTAAAGTTTCAGCACCTATTTCTAATTCGACTTTATCTGCAAGTCTCCTCAGGGTGGTTTTTTTTTTTTAATTGCCCCTAAGGGGACAGTGCAAAGTCTGGAGGGATTTTTGGTCAAAACTGGAGTTGGGGGGTGCTACTGGCCTTCAGTGGTTAGTCCCCACAGAGAAGTAGTAGGACCAGAGTAGTAGTGTTGAGATTGAGAAATCCTGCTCCAAAGTGATGCCCACAGCAAAGTGAAGATTCCAGAAAGCTGTGGAGTGCGTTCTCTTAGTACTGAGCGTAAGTGTTAGACGTGTCTTAGGAGTTAGGCACTGGGGGGTGTGGGGTTTTCTTTTCATGGAAGCATTCCCGCCACTATCTCGTGTGGTTCTTGAACATTTTGAAATGTGGCGCCTGCAGCTGCGGAATTGCATCTTAAATGTGACTTCATGTTTATAAGTTGTCCACATATGGCTTGGGTACCCATTGGCAGTGCTGTATCTTGGAAAAATCTCAGCAGGCTCAAGAAAAGGTTGAGTGGATCATTAACTAGTGCATCATGTGTGTTTTTAGAACGACACAGTAACTATCCGGACCAGGAAGTTCATGACTAACCGACTACTTCAGCGGAAACAGATGGTAAGGAAGGGCACATCAAAGTTTCATTGTTTGTCATTTCAAAAAACTCATTTTGTAATAATAAGCACTAACAACTGTTACTTCTTTTTAGGTCATTGATGTTCTTCACCCTGGAAAGGCAACGGTACCTAAGACAGAAATTCGGGAAAAACTAGCCAAAATGTACAAGACCACACCAGATGTCATATTTGTGTTTGGATTCAGAACCCATTTTGGTGGTGGCAAGACAACCGGCTTTGGCATGATTTATGATTCCTTGGATTATGCAAAGAAAAATGAACCCAAACACAGACTTGCAAGAGTAGGTGTTCTCATTGTTCAACAGCTGCTGAAGACTGTTTTTCAACAGCATTGTGTTGTGGGTGCAGTGGAATGAGCAAGAGCAAGCAGTCTGGGGAAGGACAGCCCTCAGACTTAAGGAACTAAAGTGGTTAAGAGAGAAGGTTCTTTGATAAATGTATAGATAGAGTACAGGGCTTCAGTAATGGGGTCTGCAGCTTTTGAGGAGGTGACCTTTGAGCTGGGTCAAGAAGGACAATTAATGTAGTACTTGCGGAGATAGGAGCTGGAAATAGGGGGATGGGTTTGGAAGGGTTGGCACCCAGTTGAGATTCTCAATTCTAAAAGTCTGAGTTTGTTCATTTCCTGAGAGACAAGCACTACAGTGAACTACGGCAAGGAGCTGAGCAGTCTCCCTTAGATTCTAGATCATAAACTGCAGATTGTTATTTTGAAGTACTACTTGTGTTTTTCTCTAACTCTTCTTCACTGCCATCAGATAAGTCTTCCGGGAGAACACCGTGAGAGGGAAATCATGGTGGTGTGGTAGACAGATGCTGCCCTCTTTAGTTGGGTAGTCTGAGAGGCCTTGTTGAGGAGGTGACCTTTAAGCTGAGATCTGTGTGAAGATTTGGGAGCAGTCTGGGCAGCAGGAATGGCAAGTGCAAAAATGGGCAGAGTGAAGATGAGTTGGTTGGAGTGTTGAGAGCACATCTGAGTACTCTGCCGCTGATTTGTACATACTGTGTCTCAATTGGATTATCTTTCCTGTTTTAGTACAAACAAGTATTGTTAAATGTACTTGGAACAATTTTGATCTGGGAATCTGCATTTGAGCTACCTGACTTGGTTATGGTCCCTTCCATATTAGTTAATGCTGAGTTGATGTTTGCAAGTCACTTAAAAGGTACTCCTTTTTTCTTTAGCATGGCCTGTATGAGAAGAAAAAGACATCAAGAAAACAGCGAAAGGAACGCAAGAACAGAATGAAGAAAGTCAGGGGGACTGCAAAAGCCAACGTTGGTGCTGGCAAAAAGGTATTGTTCATCAAGGAGAATACAGAAATGTCAATTGCAGGTCTTTAGTTTCTAGAAAGGAGGGATTTGTTTTTTAATAATCTTTTTTTAATGTTTTTTCTTTTCCCACTTCTTCTGGATTACAGAAGGTAACGTGTTTTGAGACGCTACATGATGTAGTATAACACCTCACTAGAATAGCTTTGCCCACTCTATCAGCTCACAGATCAGCACAACACAGGGGCCACATCGGTTCAGTGATCCTAGTGGGCACCTTGGAAGCCCTGTCAGGAAAAGTGTTCGTTTTAGTGCAAATTGGTTTGGACTGTTAAAGGGGAAGATTAAACTTACTTGCTTAAAGCAGATAACTTTAAGTTTAAGAAGCAGTTGAATCAATGTGGCCCATGTTTCTCTGGCATGCTGGAGAGGCAGTTGGGATCTCACTTGCTTTCCTCTCCAGTTAGCCAAGATTTAAGTGATTTTAATGATAAGCAGCTTTTTACCAGCTTTGCTAGCTAACTGTAAATAATAGTTGAATGGAATTAAGGTGTTGGGTTGTTAAATTAACAAATAATCAAGTGTTCTGTGAACTTTTTTTTTTTGCCTTTTCTCCTCTACTTTCTTGGATTTCTTGTTCATCAGAAATGAAGTGTCTAGCAGGTACTGAGATTGTGAGCACGGTGTGGGGATGCATCACCTTCACTGAATTTGCTTTGATGCTTTGCATGTTGGCTTTTGGACAACAAGAGTTTT